TAAATCTTAAACCGGTCACGTGTACATCATGACTTACAAAACAGTTTTGTATGTGACTGATATTAGACGGTTACCGTTTTCTCGTGTCCCTCTTTTTTTTTCTTAACTCAGTTTCCAGTGTGCATGGAACGTGTATACGTGGATTTAAACATTTGAACTTACCTTCTATCTTCGTGCACTGATCACTTTAAAATGCTGCATATCAAATACTCTTTTTTTTTTTTGGCGTACATGCCAATAAATCCTTGCTAAAAACTCCGGTCGACCTCCTACGGCACTCATTAGTAGCTAAAGATTTGATTTCATTCAACAAATTAATTTATGACCTTCATGTACGTGTCGCATGGAACACGGCCATATACCAAATGGTCAATGGTCAATACTAATCATCCATGTAATTTGCTCTATGGGGTGTTTGCAGAATTTCAACGGAGGCAGTTTCTTGGCATGAATACTAAACGCACTTTATTTTACTTTGCAAGAAGTTGGCATTTATGTTAATCAATATATGATTTATGCAAAAACCGAAAATTGAAGTGCAATATAGTTATGCTATGGTTTATACAGAAACAAAATCTTATATTAATACAAAGTTATGACATCAAACGTTTTCCTTTTTCATTCAAATCTTCCTTCTTTTCTTATCTTTTCAAAACTATAAATCTGAAACCGGTCTACATACATGTACGTCATGACTCCATTAGAAATCATTTATGTATGTCTCTGATTTTGGATGACGGGTTACCGTTTTCTTTTATTTCTCTTTTTTAATTTTTATCTTAACTGCATTTTCTTTTTTTTTATATATGTATATACATATTAGCCATCAAATTTCTTAGGCTAATTGATGTGAAATTGTAAAAGACAAATAATAATTCAGTATGGTTGTCATTTATATTCAATTAATGATTCCGAAAGATAATTTCTAAAAAAAAATAAGTAAAAATTGACACAAACTAGTGTATTTGTTCGGATTGATAAGGCATACTCTACCACCAAGCAATAAGGAAAATAACGTAGAAATTCACAGTTAGGTAAATGCAGAAAATCGCTTCGGATGCATGCAATTTATAAAGTGTTGTTTTCATTTTTCAGTAACTCATCGTGACTAAAAAATGATGAAACTTGATATAGAAATACAAAACGTGTATATTTTTTCTGCGATTTTTATAACACTGAGTTAAGGTAACCTCAGATTGTTTAAGTGTTATGATTTCTATTACACAGAGATATGCATGATAGTAGCCTCAGATCTGCAGCTGAGACTCTACTACAATATGTCTGGTACTATTATAATACTAGTTAGTATAATAGTCACAGAATACTGATGTGTTATATCTGTCAGTAAAGAAGCACAACGATTTACAGCACATAGACTTTAGTGTGTAGATAACGGTAACTATCTTTGGTTAGCTTGTTTGCTAGCTGAACCATGAAATTATTATAAGCTAAGGTACTATCTTCCTTTAAGCGGAGTCAATAGAATCAAAAGTAGGGACAGTATATAAGCATTGTGAAACCAGTTTTACAAGTCAGTACAGTATAAAAAAATGTAGTGTCAATTATGAATCGGGGCCTCGGTAAGTAGTTCTACTACTGTAATCACTAGCCAGTCAATACTGAGTATAAGTGCTGCGAAAACAGACTTAAACGACAATATAAGAACCAACGTGGAAATATGCTTTCGTCATTAAGGAAGAAAAATCCAAAACGTTTCTATAAGAATTTTAAAAAACGTAAAAAGCACGTTACAAATAACATTTCATTGGACCAATTCGAGGAACATTTTAAAAAACTAATGGCTAAACCCGAAGTGAATGTTGGAATGAGTGATACTCCGAAAACCATTTTTGAGGAACTAGATCTTCCGTTTACTGAGAAAGAACTTGATTCGTGCAGCAAAAAAATAAAAAGAGACAAGTCTATTTGTTATGATGATATAATGAACGAGTATATTATTTTGGTAAAACTTTATTGAAACCTGTTCTTTGCAAACTTTTCAATAACATTTTATGTTCCGGAAACTTTCCTGAAATCTGGGTGAAATGTATTTTGATTCCAATATTTAAGAAAGAAAATCCTGACGATCCTGGAAACTACAGAGGTATTTCATTGGTGTCACATCTAGGAAAACTTTTTATGTCGTTGATTAATTCAAGACTTATAACATGGTGCAAGATTAACAACACTCTAACAGATGCACAGTTTGGATTCCGTCCTGGATACGGCACTTCTGATGCCATCTTCTGTCTTCATTCTTTGATTTCTAAGTCGTTAAGAGAGGGTAAACGCTTGTACTGTTGTTTCATTGATTATATTAAAGCCTTTGATAGTGTTTTTCATGTTCAGTTGTGGTTTAGACTAGTTAGATGTGGAGTTACTGGTAAACTTCTTACTGTAATTAGATCTATGTATTCAAAATTAAAAAACTTGTATAAAGTGTAATGGAAAAATTTCAGATTTTTTTTAATGTTATACTGGCTTGATGCAAGGGGAATCTTTATCTCCATTATTATACTCATTGTATGTTAATGATATGGAAGTAGAGCTAATTAGTAATGGCTGTCAGTCATATGAATTGAAATCTTTAAATCTATTTTTACTTATGTACGCAGACGACACTGTTTTATTTAGCGAGAACATAGATGATTTGCAAAATATGATAAATGCTGTAAACTCTTCTTCAAAGGAATATGGTTTATATATCATTATGTCTAAAACAAAAGTAGTCGTGTTTAGAAATAGAGGTAGTGTAAAAAGTCAAGAAAAATGGTTTTTGAATAATAACCAACTTGATATATGTGACAATTTTGTATATTTAGGTATCCTTATCAATTATTATGGTAGTTTTTTACATACACAAAAAATGTTAGCCAATCAAGGTAGAAAGGCTGTTTTTGCTTTATGTAGTAAAATTATAGAGGACTATTATAAATGTGAAACGTTACTGTCCTTATTTGATACTTATGTGTCTAGTATTCTTAATTATAGCTGTGAAGTGTGGGGTAAGCATAAAGCTGATGATATAGAGAAAGTACATTTGTATTTTTTAAAACGAATTCTAAAGGTTCGAAAAACTGCTGTTAGTAACATGGTTTACTGTGAATTGGGACGTTACCCAATGTATTATGAAAGACAAAGAAAAATGATTCAGTTTTTGGTTTAAATTAGTAGATACTGATAACTGTATATTAAAAGCATGTTATGAAGATATGTTGGAGAGTTCATTTAAAAAACCCAAAGACAAATTGAATTGGGCATGTTCAGTCAGAGATATTTTATGTAAATATAGTTTTCATGATGTATGGCTAATCCAAAACGTAAATAATGTTGATATATTTATACATGAGCTAAAACAACGAATGAAAGATATCTTTATCACTGATGTTAATGCGTTTTTTGACAATTCATCTAAATGTATACTTTATAGATATATATATATCACACAGATTTATTGCAATTTTATTTAGATAGACCTGTTAATCAAATATATAAACCTTATATGTGTAAATATCGTATCTCTGCCCATAGCCTCAATATCGGGACCGGCAGATATTACAATGTAGATAGAGAAAATAGATTATGTACTATGTGCAATAGCAATATTGTTGAAGACGAATACCATTTTGTTTTAGAATGTAATAGATATAGTGATGTAAGAAAACAATATATTAAGAAATATTATTGGAAAAAACCATCCACTTTTAAACTTATACAGTTGTTATCAGTTCACAATGTGAAAGAACTTAATAATTAAGGTAAATTTTTGTTCAACATCGAAAACATCCGTAATACGTACATTTTGTAGCTGTATGCCTTATTTATCATATGAATTTATTGTCATTCTCCGCCATATATGTATTTTGTATAATTATTGTTATTAATATTATACTGATGCATTTAAAAATTTGATGTAAAAATGTATATATTCTATAAGCTGTATTGCTTCTGAAGAAAAAGTATTATTATTGTATTGATTTATATGCTCTATATTGGCTCTTTAATTAGGAATAAAGACATTTGATTTGGTTAGATTAAGTTTGAAAAAAGGGAGAAAGGGAAAATAATGGATTGCTTAAAGCTATCAACAACTACATTATCTCATCAAAACAACAGATGACCTTACAGACATAGACAAACATTCTCAAAATGTCTGTCACTAAATGCATAAGGAACACACCGAATTACAATCACAATGATACATTAATCAGAGGCTGAATTGAAACTGTTGAAGAATTTAAGTACTTTTTCTTCAAGACCCTCAACAACGCGAATTTGCATTTAAACAGCATAAATATTACTGTGTCTGACTATCCTATCGCAATAATACACCTATAATGACTTTGCTTACATACTAATACAATGCATATACAAAATAGGAAAGATGGACCAAGCAGTCTGCATGGAATGCCAAGCTAACTGCTCCCATCTATGACTAGATCTGCTGCTTGCATCTAATTATATGCTTAGACCTTGCCAGGGGGCACCATATTTTCAAATTTTACGGCATATGATAAATTTATAGCATCTGATATATTTTATTTTTGGTTATCTCGTCTCAAGCTAATACCGGCATACTGAACTAATTTATTCCCTTTTCTTTATTTTGTTTTACTAATTTCAATTTTATTTCTTATTTTTTATATTTTACTAATTTTTACTTTTAAACATTGGGTATAAACCTCACTTTGTCTCATCAAAAGAAACTTAAAGATCATTTTAATCCTCCTCGGTATTTTAACCTAGGTATAACTATAAATAATGTAAATAGCACATAATTATAAATATTTGTTTTAAAATCCACAGTTAGCATCTGTATATAAAACTAATAAATTTTAGCTACCCCATTACACTATGTAAATATCTCTGTAAATATTTGTTAAGTGTTAAACCTATATCCCAAGTGGGAGTGCTCCGATATACAACGGACGATCATACCTGTACTGAACAGAACAGACAACAAAAAACTAATCAATTCATACTCACTAGATGGCGTTAAATTTACTACGGCAGCCATTTTTCTTTAGGAAGACAGCGAGTGAATAGTCACCAGATAGAACATAACTTTTCATAAAGCCTTTAAGGCTTTGAACAGTATCGAGAATTGTACAAATGCCAAAATGTTTCCAATTCCAGGTACCATAACTTGTACCGTGAAATGAACTGTGTAACTTATATCAATCAAAGGATTTTGCCCCACGCCATTTTAAAAAACGCGATTTATTTTGTGCTTTTGTTGTAAACATGTTGATTTTTGTCGATTTAAAGAGTTCAACTAAGGTTTACCTGGGTTGACAGAATTTTTGAGAAATTTACTCTCGTAACGATGACGTTATATTATTGTTTAATGATGGTCTGGTCAAGAAAAGCCACTAGACAGAGTTCAAAGCTGTTTTGGTTTTTTTTCGATTTTAAATACCCGGGCTATTCAATAATGTTTTCTATACTCGTGTTTATATGTTTCAGAGTTTAGTGTGATCTCCATTTTCACGGAACTAGTACACATTTTTATTAAGGGCCCAGCTGAAGCCCGGGTGCGGGATTTTCTCTCTGTATTGAAGACCCATTGGTGGCTTTGGGCTGTTTTATGCTCTTTGGTCGGGTTGTTGTCTCTTTGACACATTCCCCATTTCGATTCTCAATTTTATTAAAGGAGTAAAACAAACAGGCTAATGTTATGCTTAAATATACAATATTTCAGCAGCCATGCAGCATGATGCTCCTGGGCCATTTCTAATTTCTAACCTATATCTGAAATCTATAAAGGAAATGTATTTAGAATATTGTAACAGATCCTGTTAAGATGTGTCTTCTTTTCATTGCTTACTTGCTTCAGGTGTACAGAATGTCAGTGTCAAATGCTCTAGTTTGACATGTGGTAATGCAACAATTGTTATGTATTTCCTGATTATACAGTTAAAAGGTTTTGAATACAGATTTCAGAAATCAGAGAAATGTCTTTCAAATCTTACATACAGTCTTTTCTAAAATAACTAAATCCACTACCTGTTTTAATCTGCATGTCTGCTGAAGGTCATATTTCAGGAAAATAAAATGTTTTGTCAGTTGTTGGTCTGAAATAATATATTTGTTCTCCCATGTACCAACTGTATACTTTGTTTTTAATTTCAAGGATTGTGGTGTGCTTTTGTTAAATTTCTTGCTTTTTTATACCATCATAAAGAGGCGTCAGATACCTAGAAAAAACCTACCAGAATAAAGAAGGTGATAAGGACAACATTCAGTAACGTGACAGTTTTAATTTTTGCAGAAAACATCTGAAAAGTATTCAGTGCAAAAAATAATCTTTTAAAGTGGTTTTAATAGTAAATGAAATGTGAACTGTATGGTACAAATTTTCTTTAAAAAGTTTAATTGAAATGTAGTTTTAAAGATTTGGTCATTTGAATTTCTGTTACTATAATAATCATTATGAGATGTCTTAAATAATGATGTCAGAAAATTTAAGTTTGTATTTAGAATTATTTAAGTTTTGTAAATAAAGAACTTCATAAAAATATTCTATTTGAGTAGCAGAAACTTGGACAATTCCACTTTCAAGCAGGAAAAATTATTATTGTGCAACTGCATTAACAGGCAATTATTACTGAACAATGTATGTTGGAATTCTTATGATGTCTGTAATTTTACAACTGAATTAACTACTGTACAATATATGTGGGTATTATAATGATGCATGAATTTCATCCTTAATTGCAAAACACAAGAAGTCCATTACTTGTAATAGGCGACTTTAAGAAGTTATGTGTATTGATTATTACTGCATGTTTAAAATGACCTGAAAAGGAACATTGCTGCCTTGCATCTGCTTTCTCATACAAACAAAAAAACACCTTGAGGATATAAACCCAAGTCACATTTTGTGTAATAATGCAGTTTTCTTTTACAAACTGAATAAGAAAAAACTCATCCTCACCATTTATGGATGTCATTTATTTTTTTTTTTATTAATCTGTCTTTTTGTTTCGGATAAGCCTAAGTCTGTTCAAGAATTTCTTGTAAAAGCTTTGGAGGTCTATGAGGCACGTTTAAATATTTTTTACATAAAATAATCATATATTTTTCCAATTATAGAGAATTTAACTGAGAAACTAAAGTTTTATTATTTTTAAAGGACAATTTTTTTCAAAAGCTTATCACTGTACCTAAATGTAAAACTTGTTATTTGTCCTTGTCTTTTGTCTGCCTTGTAAACAGGTAAATGAGCTACTTTGGCCGAATTTGGCCTCAACACATATTTACCAATTTATATGAACATGTTGTTATTAAAACTACCATCAATCAAGGCTATTCCAGCAAACAATATATTGGAGGGTTGGACACCACATGATATTTTTTTCTGTGGGTAAGAGTTAAAGCAAAAACAATTCTGTTGCAAATGAAAATAAAATAATAGGTGATTGGGGATCAAAAGAGATGTGTATGTCAAGCCCCTAATACATTTTTTTCCTGGAATAGCTGTTCATGCTTTCTTATTTAGTTTGAAAAAGAAAACTGCAGTATAAGATTGTATGATACTACGAGGACAATGATGAACTCGCTTGGTGTTAAGCTTACAGTGCTATTACTAATACAATTAAAGAGGTGCTGGTCATTTACACTGTTGCATTATAAGTAATTAATATTTGTCAATGTTAATAAGGCTGTTTTTTAATATTCCGTACACCTATTGAATTCCTAAAAAAAATTTACACATAGTCTGAAAAAAACAATTGCATCTTGTTACTTATGTACTGCTGTAGTACAAATAGTACATTTTTATCTATACCCGTGTAATATGCTGAAAAAAAATAAGGGTCCGTATGTAAGCAAACAATTTTATTTTTTCCGGAGTTTATACTGGTTCAAACAGGTGAAAGAGTCTGACTTTAAAACTTGTTAAAAAATAACATACATATTTTAAGGGTAAGTGGAAGTACATGTATCTTTTTTAAGGCCTTGTGTAACAGGAGTGGAATTCTCACAAAAAAACATCTAATTCTCCAGTAAATATAATTTGATATATTTTGTCTTGTTAAAGTGATTGATATTTGTGTTTACGTTTTGTTCATATTAATGTACAACTTCAAAAAAAGAGTGACTTCGCGCACAAGATTAATATCACAGTGACTTAACAATTTAATTCTAAGCATCACCTCATTATTCATTCACACTTGCATGTAATTAGATTTTTTTTTTAAGCTCCCAGAATGCCTCAGTTGAATTTCTTGTTTTTAAATTTGAAATTGATTTTGGCTTAGTGTTGACATGGTTGATGCTGTGTTTGAGCTTGTAGTGTGAAAGTCAATAATTATGAAGGCATTGATTTAAACATGATAAAAAAGATAAAACGTCAACATCTTTTGGAAATAGTACAATCTTGAAATTTTTCTCTCGTAAAAAAACTAAAACACATACTTGCAAATGAGTTACAAAAATTAAATTAAAAAATAAAAAAAAAATAAGAATGTTATAGAATGCAACAGTGTAAACAACTCATTCCATCTAACTTATGGTTTAAATGGAATCCTTTAAATGAAAACTCTAAAAATCTAAATTTAATTTAAAGTTGCATGTTAGGAATCAATTTTTTATTACCAATTACGTTGATGAAATACTTTGGTTTTAATTTAGAAAAATAATAAACAGAGAATAATATTAACAGATCTCTAGATTTTTTATGTACAATGTATAAATTTTCTCATGAATATGAAATAAATAGGACCTAATGTTTAAAGTTTTGAGGCCTACAATTTAAAACTCCACCCTCATTGACAGACCTTTAAGCTGTTATAAACCTCTGTATAGAAATGTTTCTCGAACAGCCTGCTTTATTTCCCAAGAGACAGTGACAGATTCATAAAGTGTTAAATATTTGGTCTTTTTACTGCAAGTGGATTCACTTTATGCCAGGAAATATAAGCAGTATTTTTATTTTAATTATGGAAGCTGATCTGCAAAATATAAAATAGCTCGAGACAAAGTATGATTATGAAAAGCTTTGGTATTTGCACTAAAAAAAGTGAAAATCTTATGCTTGAACCCTTGGTTGAAAAAAAAGGCTAAAAGTTTCTTTCTTTAATAGAAGTCAAGAAGTAGCCACAACATGCTCAAGTCCTAGACCAATGGTCATGATGGTTGCACTTGCAATACGACTTTTGCCCAAGAAAATGGACCTCCTCAGGAACTTAAGTTTTAAAATTCACTTTCTACTTAAAAACAAAAGAGTTCATAAGAAAGGGGTTTATACGTAAATATTTGAAAATTACTTCCTATAATGGTCAAAAAATTTTCTTTAAGCTTAAATATGGGTGATAAAAAGGGACTTCTTAATTATCCACACAACCTACATTTATAAGATATTTATCACACAACCATAAAAGACCAAGGACCCATGTCCAATTATAAAAATATCGTAGACAATTGAATGAGAAAAAAAACTTAAAAGAGATTTGTTTATTCTCTATATGATCATGATAATGAATCATCTAAAAAAAATCTTTAGTAAGATGGAATGAAACTATTAAATTAATGAAATCCAGCACGATTTTAAGGAACACAGTTCGACTGACGACATTTTTTCTTTATTAAAGGTATATCCAGTATTATGAACCAACAACTCAATGGTATGTACAGTATACAAAAATATTTCTTATTGTCAGTTTCTTCTCAAACTTGTCATTTTAAAAGGGAATAAGGTTTTGAGTTGAGGGAAATATGATGTTGGAAAAGTTTTTAAAGTTACCTAAGGACCTAAATTTTGAACATATTAAAGTTTTGTTGATATTTATAGGGAAGAATCACAAAAATTATGGAAAAGTGACTCTTTAAAAAACACACGAACATGATAAAAAAAATAATTTATACTAAAAGCACAAATTACTGTACAACATATGATTGTACATTATATTTACATTTACAATTTTAGAACCCCAACTTTTTTTATGGGTTTTAACAAAACTTGGAAATTTTTTTACAGTCATATAAAAAATCCATAACCTTTTGATGCAACAAATTTGTTGAATTGGTATTGGAATTATTAACTAGTCCAATTTTCTGGTCCTGATTAATATATCTTCATAAATTTTTTGATTATTTTTATATGAACAAGCAGAACTATAAAATAAGTACATATACTAATAACACGAATAACAGAATCAGAGGTACAAAATGTATTAATAGATTTATATATTTATTATGTTTACTAATATTACTAAGATTTTGTATAAAGTTAAATACAGTTGTATGTTTCTACTTATAAACCAAATTGTGTAATTTCCTTACCCATTACCTACAAGTACAAATAAAATTCTCAAAAATATGTTTGAAAATTTCATGTAAATTTCCCATGGCACAACACATATATACATGTAATTAACAGGCATTATAGTAATGAAAACAATAGCTATAATATAGTCACAGCTGAAAGTCGGTCTCACTTATTAATATTCACAAAACAAACATATTTTTGATCAATTAATGAGTTTTACATAGTATGTTTGTGTGTAATTTTATACCAGGACCTCTTTAGAACAGATTTTATTTATTTTGGTTGCATATTTTACGCTTGGCTGTTTTTGTTTTGCCTTAGTAGACATTTGGTGTTGTTTTCATTTAGTGTAGATACATATATATATACATAATTTATATACAGGAATGAATGCCATGAAGAGCTAGATGTTATTTGTGTTGACATATATGTTATATTACCCAGAATTCCTCATCACCATCCATTACCCAGAATTCCTTATCACCATCCTATATACATGTACATTTAATATTCACACCATTATAAAAGTTATCCTGAATGTACATGTGCAAAGATGTTACAGAATGCAACTTGTGTTAAAAGGTATTTGGACAAGAATGTTGGTCAGGTGTAACGTATGTTTATGTGAAAACCATATTACATGTACCTAATAGCAAAGGGGGAAGAAAACTCAGAGAAAATTTATATCATTCTTTAGAATTATTTAAATTTCTTCTGGACCAAAAGCATTAATTTCAGACGGAATATGGAGGTTGCTTAATTCATAAAGAAAAGCATTTGTGCTAGATACATGTATATCACATTTGGTCCCCACATGTACACCAGTCCATGAAAGTTTTTAATATCAAAATTTTCATTTTGCTGAAAACTTGGATGTGAGTATAATTTTTTAAGAATTTGAAATATTCTTTCATCTGTTCAGCATGTTAAGTGTCATATCATTTAAATATGAATTAAATGAAGGCAGACATGTTATTAGTATTGAACCTGTATGTCTAGACTTTAAACACAATTAAAATGTTTACACTATTTTTGTCTATTTTGTAGGTCAAACATCAATACCATTCACACCATTCCCAATACAGCAACCTGAAGGTATTTAGTTAGTCATGAATATTCATGAAATAGTTACCACTGAATATTCATAAGGCAATATTTCATCAATAAATTCGGTTTTCTGACCATGTTTTATTTATGGGTTTCTCAGTATCATGAAATTTGATGATACCATGCTGAAACTGGTCTGTCTTGAACTTTATAATTGATGATAAACTTGATAAAAGAAACTAAGATATGTGTTACTACATACTGTGATAGTAAGTTATAAGAGGTCTCGGGTTGGCCCATAACAAGCAAATTTCAGTGAGGACAGTCTTAACTAAATTTCCGACTTGCCCGCTATGCCAGCTAATATTATTTACACTTCAAAGGGAAAGAAAATTTCATTGACATCAAGTCAAATTAAGGAGCTTATCTACTTTACCAGTTTGACTCAACATCTTATTTGGACCCAAGCACTAATCAGTCAAGGGTCTAACTTAAAATAAGTTATTAGAGAAAAATAACATACATTTGTTATTGAGGGCTAAAAAATCAAAAATCTGTGATAACATATGTATGTTACATGTTTCAAAGGGGCATTATACATCCTTTATTTTGTTAAATTGTGTACTAGTTCTATTGGTATTATAATTGTCTTTATGTATATTAAACTTTAGAAAGATATAACAGCCCATAGTTTGCCAATCATGCATAACACACCCATGTTATTACAGAAAAAATATGCCTGTAATAACTAAAGGGTGTTATTACAGCTTCTCTACATCTCTTCAAAGCCTTTTCTCCTACATATATCACAATGTATTTTAATTTATTGTAATCAATAATGATAAGAGCATGTAATGAGGTTCTGCGCAAGCTTCCTAGTCATTCCCAAGTGTCTCATGTAATAAGTTAAATGCCTGTAATAACTAAGCCTTGTTATTACAGCTAAGTTATCACTTAAAAGCCTTGTCTCATTGATTTACCATGGTTGATCAAAAATGTATTAATTGAATTGGAAAATTAGTTTTCAAGGTTATGTATTAAGTTACTGCGCAAGTTTCAAGAATTCCCAAGTGCCCACTGAAAATAATTTTTTTTATGGCGCATTTAACTGATAACAAACATATGTTACTACAGATTAAGAGAAAGTATCCATTATAACACATGTATGTTATTTTGCTCTAATAACTTATTCAAGTTACACCCTTGACTGCTAATTTAAAAAGCACCTGAAGTTTTATATTTACCCCGTTGACACATTTTTTGTTCTGAGTGATGCCCCCTGAAGTCTCAAAATGATAAAGCTCATTAAAATTGCTTTGGTTTCTAAATTTTATCATGATTTCTATCTACCATAAAATTCATTTCAAATAGATGTATGTAGGTGCAAGTATACAAGTATGAAAATAAAAATTTAGAAACAATATGGTCTCCTAGTGATGAATTTATCTTGCTATATGGAACCCATTAGATAATACTCCTTACAACATCAGATTCAACATCCATAATGAGGTTAAACTATATCTTTATGTAGCCTGTGTTTTCCTTCACCCTTAGCTCACTGTTTTTCAACTTAAATGCAGGCTTTTATCATGTTATGTTGACTGGGGAGCATCTGTAATAGTTGTGCCATCTTTTTACCTTTTTTTGACATGACGAACCCATAAGAATGGATAATACATGTAATAGATACACATATGTAAATATTATGTTTGTACTTTCAGTACCACACCAATTACATGAATTACCACCGCCACAGCCAGTAGTTCCAAGGGCAGATTTTATCTCGCCAGCCAGACCCAACCATGGAACAGATGGCAAACCAATCTTACTGCGGGCCAATCACTTCCAGGTCCGCATACCAAAAGGAGTTATCCACCATTATGATATAGCCATTACACCAGATAAATGTCCACGCAGGGTCAATAGGTTAGTAGAAAGAGGAGTGATCCTACAGAATCACAATATTGTGTTTAACATACTTCTGCTCATAACTAGTTCAGAATAGTTCTATGTTTACATATTGTAAGGAAAAGTTTTGCTGCTTGCTACTTGGATTTTACATTATGGGGCAAAGTCTTATATATATGTAGGGCTATGTGCACTGTTTCTCAAAGTCCATTTAATTATTGTCTCGCCTTGACAGAGTCAAAAAGCGAGACATAGGTATGCTGTTTCCGGAGGCTCCGCCCACTTAGTCATGGTCTGAAACTTTGAAAATTTTGCTAAGTTAACATGTATTAGTTTGTGATAAGGTCAGTTCAAGGGGAACAATTAGTGGTAGGCCAATGTTAATTGGTGTTCGGTTGTATAAGCATTAGCACATCTCATTTCCATGGAGAATATTTGGCCCGCCCCCTCAGTCATGGTCTATTTACTTTGGAACTTTTGCTTAGTTTACATGTATTAGTTTGTGATTAGATCAGTTTAAGATGAACTGCTAATGTTAAGTCAATGATATTTGGTATGCAAATTTATTGGCATTTGCGAGTATTGTTTCCATGGAGATTATATAGCCCCACCCCTGATCATGGTTCATTGACTTTGAAACTTTTACATAGTTTACAAGTTAATGTTTGTGTTTAGGTTTGTTTAAAGGGAACGACTTATAATAAGTCAATGGTATTTGGTATGCAGATGTATTAGCATTGGCACATCTCATTCCATGGAGATTGTTTAGCCATGTACCTTCATCGAATTTGAATATTTGCATAACTTACATGTTAAAGTATTGCTATTTTAATTTCAACATTTGCATTATCAAAATTACAAAAAGGCGAGACATATCTCTGTGATAACAGTTTATATGGGATAATTTTGTTAGGATACTAATTGAGTCTTGTCATTTCTGTTATTACTTCTGTCTTCTGTAAAATTTTAACCAAAAAATCTCCAGCAACTGTGTTTTTTCTTGTTGGATAAAGACAAAATTGTTATTTTCAGCATTGGCAAAATTCAGCCTGATATGCCTGTTTTGTTTGAATTTGATTTGGAAGATATTTAAGTCATGTGTGTTTTGAAGGTAGATGTCACAGTTGTTATGTGGTATTTTATTTTTGTTGTGTGTGTTAATGTTAGATGTTGACTTGATCCTGTTTGGGTGTCCAGATTTGTAAATATTATTTTCATTAGATAATAATCTATTTTTATTAAAGGATATATTTCATTACATTACATTGTGTAGATAAAGTTGTTGACATTGATAGATAAGTTGCAGATAAGATATTAGTTTGTGACAAATGAAAGACAAAATATTGGTGACTATTAATTATATTTGATTACAATTTAAAAACATCATATCTGATTTTAGTGAACAATTTTTTAGTGGTGAAATCATATCTAATTTTAGATTTGCATTACTGGTTCATGGAAACAAGTTTGAGTTATTTCCTTTTGAACAGAAATTGTTTTAATTAATAAGTCTTTCATCAAAAATTGAATTTTTGGGGTTCTTTGATAAGCTGATTCTAACAATGTACTTAGATTTTGGATATTGGACCACAAATTTTTCAGTTCTTTGACCACATTTATTTTGTGTCACAAATCTATGCTGTATCAAATGTTCAATCACAATCCAAATTCAGAGCTGTTTTAAGCTTAAATGTTGTGTCCATACTTGCTCAACTGTTCAGGGTTCGACCTCTGCAGGAATCCGGTTTGCTGTCACTCCGACAGCCACTTGTCTGTAATTGACACTGCTTTGATTTTAATTGCTAGCTGATGCTAAAAGTAGTTTATTTCACAAGAAAATTTAAGACTATAGTTGTTTTACTTGTAAAAAATATCTAGTATATTTGTTGATCAGATCATCATTGAAAAAATAACCCATAGATTCATATTCATCATTGTTTTTACAGAGAGATTGTAGAAACTATGGTTACGGCCTACAGTCAGAAGATATTTAATGGACAGAAACCAGTGTTTGATGGTAGAAAGAATCTGTATAGCAGGGACCCACTTCCTATAGGCAGAGATAGGGTATGTTACTTGACATTAGTAGTCTTTACAAGTTTTAAATACATTGTCAGTCTTTAGGCTCAACCACAGGCCCACCAGCCCAGGCTTGTAAAAATGCTGTTGGGGCTGTAAAAATCATCTCTACAGGCCAATAGATTCAAAAGTTTATCATAAAGATTGCATTATAATCTCATTTTGAAAGTCCATCTTGTATAGCATGTATAGTTTTTGTTTCTAATCCAGTTTCTAGTTGGTACAAGGTATCGGTCAAAAATTAATCAAGATGTTCACAATGATTTCATTACAGTATATGTGTTTATATTGGATATTTAACTTAAAAAACCTTCCAAGGAGTATTGAATAACCTGGCAACCTATAAAATTATGTCATACCCAGTAGAAAAACTGGCTTTCTCAAGATGAAAAAGTTGAAATGAGTTCATAAATAAACACCTTCAATGTTCTAAATAAGATACAGTACACTCAACTGATTTTAGCAATAAGAAAAACAACATGAATATAAATCGTTCTGAATATGTACAACTTGCATCAAGAAATTAGAAAATTGCAAAAATGAATAAATATCTGCAAAGTCAGCTAGAAAGGGGAAATAGAGTATTCACAAAAAAATAGTTGTTTACAGTATGCGTCCGAAAAAAAACACACTCTTATGGAAAGGTATTTTGTTACAAGAGTTAAAAGGGTTGAGGATATTATATATATGATCATGATGTTAGGTATGTTTTATTTTTATGGGGTCTTATTTGATACTTATGAACTTTTTGTATTTGTATGTCATTTCATCACATAATTCATTTACTATCTTTAAATAAAATTTTGGATGAAAATTTTTTGTTTATCAGCTCAGACGTAATTTTGTCATGTGACCGTGACGTCAACGTTTTTTTCATGATTTACTCCTTAAAAATGGAATTTAGAATTAAATTATAAGGAATAACTGTAATATTTTTTCTGTCTATTTGAAATAACCTCATAAATGCAGTGCACACTTTTAAACAAACTGCTACGTGGGTTATTCAGTGTGCACCACATTTTTTATGTTATTTCTTCAGACAGAAAAAATATTACAGTCATTCCTTTAATAACGGGATACACATGATGATCACATCTTACATCTTACAAAGTGGATATAATGGACTATTTTCATTTTACCGACTTTTGGCTCAGGAGCATATAATTTTTTTTTTAATCAAGCTTGTACCGATTGCAAGCTTGATTTTACTTCTTTTAGTTGCTCTTACTTGACCCCGTACCAGATCGTTCTCCCACAGAGTAGGTAACCTGTTGAAAAGTTATATACCCCAGAGTCAAAGTCAGTAACATGAAAATAGTCTATTTGCAATAATGTGACATTAGGAATCTTAAGCAGTCTTCAAAATAAGCTCTGATATTTACAATGTAGGCCAAAACCTACAATATGTTTATGCTTATATTTGAATATTTAATGAAAATGGTAATTTCTGGGTGTCTGGGTCACTTGTAAATTTTCTGGACTACAGCAGCCCACTGACACTAGTATGTCTAATACACTACAGGTTGAATTAGAAGTCACTCTGCCCGGTGAGGGCAAAGATAGGGTTTTCAAAGTGGCAATAAAGTGGGTTGCCCAAGTCAGCCTGTTTTCCCTTGAGGAAGCTATGGACGGGCATGCCCGACAGATTCCATTTGAAGCCATTCAAGCTTTGGATGTGGTCATGCGCCATTTACCGAGCATGAAGTAAGTAATTGTTGATGTTGTAGAGGTCAATCATTGTGTCGTTTGTCTTGTCTATGTCACAGGTGGAACTGGAGGTCACTTTGCCAGGCGAAGGAAAAGATCGTGTATTCAAGGTAGCAATTAAATGGTGTGCTCAGGTTAGCTTGTTTGCTCTTGAGGAAGCCCTCGAAGGACGTGTACGACCAATACCCACTGATGTTACCAATGCCCTTGATGTCATAATGCGCCACTTACCTAGTCTGACGTAAGTTAGAGCTGTCTGCAGGGATATAAATGATACAATAAGAGTTAACGTTTTATAGATAATTCAGTATGTTGGTAGGTAGACATAGTTCCAACATATACACATGTACCCTGATTGCTGTTGTTAAGCATGATGTTGTAATTCATCATTCTTTAATCTAATATATATCTAAAAAATGTTTGAATTTTGCTCTTTTAAAAAGTAAACAAAAACATGTAGAGTAACTTTTTTGTCTACATGGTAATTGAGTTGATACAGATGATTCACTCTGACATATCTCTGTGTATTTAATAGATGTTACATGCTGGGGTCATAAATCAGAGTGTTTATGTCACTAGTACTGTGTCACCAGCAATCACCCATCGAGGATGAACTTCTCAGATTAACTTTTTTGTGCACTGACTGAATGGGACAAATTATTGTTAAAACTGGACTCTTTAAATTGCTTTGAAAGTTCTACACAAACCCTGACAATGAATATTAACCTAAATACTGTGAATTCAGAAAGTTTTAGGATGTTTTTATTTTTGCAAAAATTGAGATCCATTGTAGGTTTCGCAAAATAAAAACTTGCATTTTAGATTTTTAAAGTATTGTTTATATGCAGCATTTCCTAATATCACAATTAATCTCACATTTGTCTCTATTTTTCAATTCTAAATTTACAGTAAATATACTTAAAGTTTTCATGACAATGGAAGCTTAAGAATTAGATACAAAAGTTTGGATGTGAGAATTTTTTTTTAGAAAACAAGTATGCCAGAAAGCATAGAACAGAAAAGAGCAATCATAAGATATTTCATTCTTTTACTGTTTTATGATAAATCATCTCCATATAGAAATTTCAATATGAAAATAAGAGATGTGGTATGATTGCCAATGAGACAACTCTCCACCAATTGACATAAAAGTTAACAACTATAGGTCACTGTACGGCCTTCAACAATTTGCAAAACCCATACCGCTTAGTCAGCAAGCATTTTTTTGCCCCCGCCGCTAGGCCAAGGAGGCATTAATGTTACCCTTGACTGTCCGTCCGTCCACCTCAAAAGTATTTTCACATATTATAAGCAAGCTTGAGCGGGGGCATTTGTGTCCTCAGACACATTCTTCTTTGATTTTCTCAGTTTTCTTTCCAATGAGTTGGATTCAATGGGAAACAAAAAAAAATTATTATATGAAGAATTGAAACCAGTAAAGGATGATTAACCGTCTTCACATATAGGTGAACAAATTTTATAAACAAAGATTGAGGCATCATACTTGTTGGTTGTTGGTATGTTTGTACAATCTCGCTTACCAAAATTTAACAATGAAACCTTTTTATTGTAGCTATACCCCAGTTGGTAGATCATTTTTCTCCCCACCAGAAGGTTATGACCATCCCCTGGGTGGTGGGAGAGAGGTGTGGTTTGGTTTCCATCAGAGTGTTAGACCATCACATTGGAAGATGATGCTGAACATTGATGGTATGTTTACACATTTGGTTTTGTAGTTATTTTCAAATTTGTTGTCCTTAAGGTGCAATGAGAAAGTATTAATTCAAGTTTTTATTATATATATGAACTAGTTGAAATGTAACACAAAATAGAGGAAGAATAAAAAAAAAACACAGGGCATGAAGTGTTACCCTTGACCTTCTGTCCGTCCCATTTTTGTTTCCGCACTCTAACTTAAGTTTGCCTCATGCAAATTTTATGAAACTCATACACAATACTAAGAATCACAAGAATTCAGATTTGGGCAGTGAATTGCTTACTGTTCTAGAGTTATGTCCCTTTTTAACTTGGAAAATTGCATAGCTTGAGTGGGGCATTCATGTCTTGAGACACATTCTTCTTTTATTATAACATTTGATTCCTTCACTTAATGGTAGCCCTGGCACAAGATACGTTCCAGTTTTGTTTCCTTTCTAGATATACACATCAAACACCAAAAATTCTGAAGGCAAATAAAATTTCTTTTTCTCCATTTGCCATCTGAGGATGTCCATCACTCTTCTCACAGACATCAGTTTAATCTCAGTGTAAGTGCAAAATATAAGATAATATTATTTTGTAAATTATCTTTCTAGTATCAGCCACAGCTTTTTACAAAGCTCAGCCCGTGATAGAATTCATGTGTGAAGTTTTAGACATAAAGGATGTCCACGAACAAAAACGACCTTTAACTGACTCCCAGAGAGTGAAGTTTACCAAGGAGATAAAAGGTACGTACGGTATGTGCAATTTTATAAATCCTAACCACAACAAATATTTACATGTTTTGGGCCTAGGTGTGTTAAATGGTATTTTTCTTTCATTGGAGATATTAAATAAACAACAATCAATCAAATGGTATTTTTCTTTCATTGGAGATATTAAATAAACAACAATCAATCAATCTTTCCTTGGAGATTGTTTCCGTGAAATGCAGCCTGTTGAATACTTGCATTTAGTTCATGATATGTTATGCTTATTTGATTTTTTAGTTATTTAGATGATGGAAGGCAAAAAAATTGTAATGGTTAACTTGTTATTTGTTTTTGATTTTTCCAGAAACAGTTTATAAATGAACTGACGTTTAAAATAATATTAGAATTTTTTAGTTTTAAAAGATTCCAAATTCAGGAATGCAAAATCTGTAATTTTTACTCAATAATTTAAATTGCTAGGCAGGGATGCAGATTGTATAGTACTGCAAGCCTGAAAATCCAAATCAAGAATAAAAGTCGTTTCGGTCATGTTTTCTCTTGACTAAGTAGAGGCTGTACTTATTTCTTTTGAATTGTTTTATCATCTACCTGATAAATAATATGCAAATTATGATAAAAAAAATTTCAACAATGATTCATGACAATTTTCTTTTTTCTTCTTGTTGCATTTCATTGTGATATATAAAGTCTGAAACATGAACGATTATTGAAACATTTTTTGGTGTCTCAGACAGCTGTGTGTGTTTCCCATTAACTAAAAGTCCTTTAGATATGAAAGTGTTGAATAAATTTAAATGTATTTTACTTTCAAAGTCATATTCTTTTGTAAAATCTATTAAATACTAAATCCCTGCACACTCCCACTGAATTTGTTTGTGATTTACATGTATGGCTTCTTTTAACATTCATGAAGTGTGCCAGAATTATTTATTAACAGTAATTAGTCCTATTAATTAAGGAAAGTGAATATTTTCTTTGGGACAACATAAAAGGGTGTTCAGATTATAGATAAAGAGTATGTAGAATTTATGTAGTGTTTCTGGATCAAGAAAACAATTTAATTGCTAGCTAGAAATTAATAATTTTACAGTATTTTATGGTATCTGTATATAAAATTATTTTATTAGTGACTTAAAGTTTTCGACAGACTGCATAATTTCCTGTTAAACAGCCAGTAAAATTGATTTATAGGTGATTTCAAATAACTGAAATAGGTATTTCGTAATTGCATGAAAAATTGAATGTGACCATGGTGATAAATAAAAAGAAGAGATTCAATTCAAATCTAATAAGTCGATATATATGAAGAAAAGTTTATAGTCCCCTTTAATTATATTGGCATGCTTATATTTGTTGTGGTTTTAGCTTAAGTTATGGATTCATTTATTTATTTATATATAATTTTTTTAATTTTTTTTTTATAGCTATTTTGTAATATTTACAGTTTCAGTTAAAAGTAAAATATTTTTTTATTAAATTCAAAAGGATATTGAAACACATTCAATTTGATTAATTAGTTAAAGATAATGTTTCATAACAAAACTTTTTCATTAGTTTTGTGCAGTGGTTAAAGATAATAGCAACATATATGATTAATATACTGTGTTGAGGTTTCGTTGAATTTGATATGATGTTATAATGTTGTTTGTTCTGTTTAGTAGAAAGCTGTAAAGATTAAAAGAAGGAAGAGACCCTGTCACAGATAAATTTTATTTAAATATAACATTTCATTTTGATTTTAGTTTAGGACTTGTTTGTCACAGGAAAAAAGCAGTCATATATCTAAGATTTGTTTACAATATTTTTAAAATTTTGGATATTGTGAAAAATTTGTTATAGTATTGACAAAAGTGTTGCATTTGGTTTTTTCTTAAACTGGAATATAGTTTGAAACTCAACCTTCGGTTTTCTGCAATACATGTATCTTTATTTGATTGCATGGCTTTTTACAACAACAAAATTATCAATTAGTCAGTTTATCCTTTGTAGAGAGAACGGTTGCTCTCTGCATTTATGTGTTTTTCTGTTCTAGATTTGCCCAGCAAGCCAATTACCTTCTGTTATAAAATCAGTGAAATTTCTTTTATAAACAAAAACAGTAAAATGATAGCTCTGTAAATTTATTTCCAAGTTCAACTTCATTTGCACAAAACACTAGTTGAACCAAATAAAATAGGAGTTCTTGTATTAGACATTTTCAGATCACTTGTTTTGACAATAAAAATGAACTATATTAAAAATATATGAAAGTTGGCTTGTCAGGCATTTTAGATGCAAGTATCTACAACATATTTAAGCCTCTTCAATCCTCAGTACTACTGCTTCATAAGGGCCTATTATCATTTAAATGAATGCCAAGGAGTGAAGAAATAAGATGTTAATGGCATATTCACAAGGTACAGTGAAAATTGCTTGACATGTTCTCCGGAATTCTTAATTGGATGAAGTACGGTAATTATATATTATCCGATATTGATGTGATGATGTGACGGCTATGTATAAGAATACCTATCGTTATTTAACTTTTCTTTGACTACTGTAGGCTTACAATGAAAATACAATACCAACCAGTATTATATTAAATTGGGTCACATATACAACCAGGACTAAGAATATTACAAGTCTTACTTGTCCAAGCTTGTTGCTGTCAAATTTATTTTTAAAAAAATGCTAATCAAGCAGACAAATAATTGAACCGGCAAGTCTGTTTGCACCTTGTCCTTGGAGGGTGCAAATTATTTTGCTGAGAAGATAACTAGTAGTAGGAAAACTTCAATAAAGATCGTCCAATAAAGAGTATTAGGTGACCTAGGTTTACTAGGAATCCAGGCCTATTCCATTATCATCTTCACTACTTTAAGAGGCCATGCATGAAAACGGCAAGTCTTCAGTATACATGATGGCAAGAAACTCAAACACTGCTAGTATTTATGGTACAGGAGTCTAGTCAAGAACTCTCTAGCTCAGTGTTTCTATACTCAACATGCATGAAATATTTGCAACTGGACCTTAAGCAAACAACAATCTATCAAGCTCAGATAAGATACAAGTAGTCGAATTAAGATTTTGCATGAAATATTTGCCACTGGACTTTAAGCAAACAACAATCAATCTGGCTCAGAGTTGATACAATTAGTCCAGTTAAGATTTTGCCTGTCGGCTGAAAAGAATGTTTATGCTTTGTTTTACTTCCTTGACCTCTTTACATGACATGCTACTTTCTCTTTACCACTGCACAGAATTCAGTATTAGAACGGTCATTATAGTAACTTTCTTATTTGTTTCACTGTCACATAACAGGTTTGAAAGTAGAGATAACTCACTGTGGTACCATGAGGAGGAAATACAGAGTGTGTAACGTGACTCGTCGACCAGCACAGACTCAGTCGTAAGTATCTACAATTTGTAAGAATTAGTTATAGGGATCAAATCTGACTAAATATTTACAGTAATGATTATGAAAACAAATGATCTCTGTAACTTTTAAGCTTCTTTATAAACCTTGTTTATGCCATCGCCGCAAGGTGAAGGGGGCATTTAGTGTTACCCTTGACCATGGGTCCTTCCATCTTTCCTTCCTTCTGTCTGTCCCATTTTCTTTTGTTTGAAGCTTAAGTGGGGCATTTGTGTCCTCAGACACATTCTTCTTTTATTTTAATTATCCAATAGACCATAGAGATTGTAAAATGTTGATTTATTAACACTGTTATATTCATGTGACATTTGTGACAAGAGTTGATTTATTGATTCTTTGTATCTATTTTGCTTCTAGGTTATACCATTAAAATTTTGCAAAGCTAGATATATTTAGATGACATTGGCATCAAACTGTTTAAATGAATTTGCAAGTAATATTTGCTCTGGATGTTAGGCACTCACACATCATTCAATCAATAAGATTAAATTACAAATTACAAATGTCAATTTAAAGGATAGGATAGATCCTCATGATCCTGTCACATTGTCATAAAATTCTGAATCTTGTACGTTTAGAATCATATGATAGAATGTACAGTTATGTGTTATCTGGTTTATGTTTCAGATTCCCCTTACAGTTAGAATCAGGCCAAACAGTAGAATGTACAGTAGCTAGATATTTCCTGGAGAGATATAAAATGAAGTTACAGTAAGTTGGAAATTGCATTTCATAATACATAACATTAAAACAGGACTCGCAAAAATATACCGGACAGAACAACACAACTCAACCACTGACACACCAGAAAAACTAGATGTTCACAGAAAGACAGAAACGAACATCACATGTATATTTGCGAATTAGAGTGGGTCATTTGTTTATCTTTGAAGGGATTATGGAGACTTGAAAATTTCTATTTTGGTTGACCATATGTTGTTGTCTTGTGTCTGTTTTATCTTTAAACTAGCACAGTCAAAGAGTAAAGAGTTCAATTTAATAACATTTTTGTCTTTTGGTATACAAGATATCCATGCATTCAAATGTATTTATTATTGTTGTTCTAAACATTGTGTTAATACAAAATTTCCTTTTAAATTAAATTTCTATCTCACCTATATCTTTGTTCCTAATAAAGATTGAATGTACCAGGAACATAATGTAATAAATGTTATTAAAAACAATTAAAACGGACATAAATGGGCTGTTTTCTGCTTTTTGGTTGGGTTGTTGTCTCTTTGACACATTCCCATTTCCATTCTCAATTTTATAATGTAAAAGTTTGTTTTTGACTTATTTGTATATTTACAGGTATCCACATTTACCCTGTCTACAAGTAGGTCGTGTTTTTGACTTATTAATTTGTATATTTACAGGTATCCACATTTACCCTGTCTACATGTAGGTCATGTTTTTGACTTATTAATTTGTATATTTACAGGTATCCACATTTACCCTGTTTACAAGTAGGTCAGGAACAGAAACACACATACTTACCATTAGAAGTGAGTCACTTTATATAAATAGTGTTAATCTGATATATAAAACACCCATTCATTCAAAAATGTGTGTGGTTTTAGTCCCTCAATCAAATGTTTTGTATAGTTGAAACTGAGACCACATATCACAGTTAAACAAAAAGAGGCGACAGATACGAAGGGGATATTCAAAACTCAAGTAGAAGAGAAATTGAGAATGCCATGCCAAAAAACAAAAACAGAAACTGCTGAAAATACATAATGCTATCAACATTTAAATAGCAAGTTTTATTTTTGTGATACCTATACCATGGTTGCAAAAATTCTGAATTTACAGTGATTCATTCCAGTCAAATCATATTTCAAGTTGATGCAGTAGTTTTACTTCCAAAATGTTATTTATTATACCTGCATAGTTAAATGTTTCTTTTACAGGTGTGCAATATAGTGGGAGGACAAAGATGTATAAAGAAATTGACAGATATGCAGACATCGACAATGATCAAGGTTTCTCAAATAAGTTGACATCTATTTCTGAAGCATTTACATGAGGCAGACATTAAACAGTGCACAAGCTGTTAATTTAAGGGGTGTGGGTTAGCAATGCCAGGTGGTAGTTGCCATGGTAACATGGAGGTCCCAGCTAGATTTATAATGGCTTGTGACTAACAAACTTACAACTGGGAATTTCTAAATTTCTTCTGCTGTTTCTTAATTGGATAAAAAATATTGCTGATTCTGTAATTATATAACATCTCTTTGAAATAAAATTACACACTGTTTCATGAAAGATTTTTGTCCAATTCTTTATATTTATGATAAGTTGTAGGAAGGAGAATACTTAATAATATAGAACTTTTGAAACAGCCTTTTCCCATATATAGGATTATTTCTTTAGATGTGTTTTTCAACAGTTACTTTTACATTTGGTGAAATACAAAAAAACAGGGATAGAAATTCACCCTGGTCAAGTAGCCCATGACTATTCATGCTATTCAAATTGAAGTGGGTGAAACAAGAATAGAATTTATTTTATAACTAGGTCATTTTCACATCACAACATACTCTTCCTAATCCAAGCCAATGTGCTTGATGGAATTGATGGGAATACACATCGCTATTCCCGGCTGACCCGAGAATCTGTCCCACTTGAACTTTTGACGTCGTACAACAATCACGTTTCCATTGTGGCGGCAGATATTTTGTATTGTGACGTCAACATTTTACGGGAACCTGTGTGATGTCCAGTAATGGCGGACAAATAGCGATAAGGTGTATAGTTTAACCAGGAATTTAAATGTTCAATGAAGTACAAATTTTCTATAGGCTTGTATGCAGTATTTGACAAAGCCAAGTAATAAAATAGAAAATAAAATATGATTTTTCCACAATCAACACTAATTGGTATCCATGAAAATAAATAAATCCAAAGTACTTGAAATTAATATCTTAAAAGATATGGATATATTGCTCACACTATACATACCTCCCAATGTTTATTGACAAATCTAGAAAGTAGTTTATTTTTATGCTAATAATACTTTTATTTTTGTTGTTATAGCCCCGCTTTAAAAAAGTGGGGGTATACGGTTTTACCTCTGTCAGTCCGTCTGTCCATTTGTCCCATGAATATTATTCCTCGCATCTTTCTCAGGAACTACATCATAAGGATTTCTGAAATTTGGTTTCAGGGTTTATATAATTCGCTATACCATGTATACAGTGTGATACGTTTTCAGATTAATCACTCAACAACTTCCTGGGCGTGCGGGGGTAACATCAGTGAGCAGTAGCTTGCAGTTTCACTTGTTATTTATAAATAATCCCAGTTTGTAAGATTGAACCATGTCTCATGGCAATGCTGAGAATAGATACAACTTACTTGAGCTAAGTACAAGGGTAAAAATAGCTGTTTTGTTTTTTTGTGATAAAATTGCTAAATTTTGTGTTCCTTTGAAGGTAAAATTAGTAGCAAGCCAGTTAAAGTATTAAATTTGAGAATTATCTGTGTGTAAGCTGTGTGGTTTTGCCTCATGTTGCTTTGCAGAAATAGCAGTTAGCTTTGATATGTTAATTTATTTCAGGCTTTTTCGAAACAATTTCAGAGGGATTTGGAAAAATTATTTAAAACAATTTTATGAAAAGTGTAGTGTATATTTTCCTTTTCCAATTGGAATCATCATTCTTTACAAAATTTGTTAATATCTTCCAACCCTTTGATAATTTTTGTCTCCTGAAATATCATTGAGTAAACTTTCAGAACTTTTTAAGAATACTGTTAACACATCACTACTGTGTTCAAATCATGTTTAATTATTAATTTTCGATTAAAGAACAAGTAAAAAACCATGGAGAGAAAGAAATGGAAAAGTATGATTCTTTATTAGGAAAAGTCAGTATTTAAAGCATTTCTCCATCAGTTTGTTAAAAGTAACTGCATTGATATCTTAATCTTACATATCAGAGTTCAAAGGTGACTGTATTTTTACAAGTAATTGTTTGATTAGGTAAGTATAGACAATTTCTAGAAAAAAAAGTATGTAATAGTTTTTTTAAACAAATATTGTTTGTTTTAAGGCCACAGCTAGATCAGCTCCAGACAGAGAAAAAGAAATCAATAACTTGGTAAGTTTAATTTTTTTTCATTTGGCTTTTTAATGAAGGAAAATTGATTACGAAAAAATGAAATTTAAGGGTTTATTTTGCTACAAATCTCTATAATGATATACTATTTTCATAAAGATAAACTGTTTATTAAAGTATAGTTCCTTTGTTCCAACCATTATGATTGATTAATTGATGTTTATTAATGTTTTATTGTTATATCTTTTCTGACAATTATGATACATGTATAATGTTTATCTAAAATGAAAATGTGTATATCAGAAATAATTTTTGACACATTAAGAGAGTAAAGGCTATTAAAGTAAAGATAACACACTGAGCAGTTATTAAAAGGGACACCAGATTCAAGATAAACAAAAGTGACCATGTATCATGTCAAAGTTAAAATATACAGTTTAAATGTGTGATTATTATTGATGTTGTTCAGGAAAATAGCTTCTGACAGATTTATTAGATATACACACTAAAAAAGAGCAAAATGGAACCAGAGATTCAAAAGCTAAACTCATAATTGCTAGCGATGTATTTTCTGTTATACGAATACACCAACAAAGAAAGTATATCATACACACTGAGCTACAAAGGGCTAAAAAGTATATGCCAAAAAATAATTGTTTAACAGTATATATTACTGACAACGGCTAGAATATTGGTATTTGCTACTTCTTTGCCAAGCATAGGCATTTAGGAGGAAGAGCAAAGATTGGTCGGCTTGGAGTACAAATAATGTTTCCGATAGGGTGACATGCCATCCTGCTGACTGTTACCTTGTGAACTAGTATGTTAAAATGATTAAAAATCCAGCTCAGCCTGTTGGTCTAGTAAAAAACAGGGTTCATGTTCATATAGTCATCAACATATTCTCATCCTGAAATGCATGTAATATTTGCCAATGGACATATCACTACAATCCATTCATCCATCCAGTATAGATTTCTGTCCTCATTAAAATTTGTAAAATCTTATGGGGTATATGGCTTTGATACAAAACAACTATGGACATATCAGATGACTAATAACTACTTTAGGTAGTTGTGAGAAAGATGGATTCAACATTGAAGTCATGGCTTTCTTAACATGCTTAATAGGGGCCTTTTACATTTGCATGAGAAATTATCTATTTAAACAAAGTACTGAATGACAGTTAAATGATCTGAACAAGGCTTTAGCACATTCCTGACTTAGGACAGACACAGTGTTTAAATGGGAATAGCTAGTGCCTCTTTTGATACCTAAAAATTGGTATTTGGAAAGACTTGCTATGATGGATGAAAGTGAGATCAACATCATTTACCATGGGAAAATGAATCTAAAAAAAAATCTTTATCAAATGTATAGTTTACATTTTATGCAAAAACAGTATTATCAGTGAGATATTGGTTTGTGTGGCAAGCTTTGCATGTGCTGGTGTTTATATGTAAAAGAGAAAAAATTGTTTCTTAGACCAACAACATCTGTTAAAAGTTCTTTATGTCAATTTCAACTGTTATATCAATTTGAATGATAAATGCTATGATTCAAGACTAATAATTTAAAATAGTTTCACTGGTATATACCTAGTTAAATAGTGACATTTATATATTGTTTAAGAAAAGTTTATTGCTTATGAGGTTGAAAAAAAGTGTAGTGCTTACGAGATTGAAAAAAAAATTTATTGCTTATGTGATTGAAAAAATGATTATTGCTTGAGAGATTGGAAATAAGATCCATAACAAGGTTGAATTATAAATGTTGGTATATCAGCACATGTGATAAGCTTACCATTATTGCCTAGTCATATCATTATCGTCATATCACTATCACCCTATCACCAGGTACAAAAAGCTGACTTCAACAAAGACCCTTACCTACAAACTTTTGGTATCAGTGTTTCCTACCAAATGACTGAGGTCAGAGGGCGTGTGCTGCCCCCGCCAAGAATCGAATATGGAGGCAGGGTATGCCAATATTTATCAATCACTAGAAAATATGGGAATGTGTGTGTTACAATTTACTGTCAAAGCAGTTTTGAGAATGAATAATATGGTTCTTTCCTTCTTTTTTTAATAAATTTACTTAGCTTCATTTAAAGCTCCTTTGTTCCTTCATACAAATTTTTTAACCAGGTAAAAAAAGTCAATACTTTGAAATATTGATTTTATGACAGAAAGGAGAAATGGGTGCTTTGAGGTAAATTATGAACACACACACACTCGTAATCATTATTATTATTTTTGCACATTAATTAACATTAACAACGGTACATCCAGTACTTTGTGTGGCATCTTGTCAGATTTTGTTGTGCTAATTCTTGTATTTTGTGCCCGTCTGTCATTAACCTAGGTCCGAAAGGCAAATTTCAATGCGGATCCTTTCCTGCAAACGTTCGGTGTTCAGATCAACCCAGTGATGGTCGAGGTGCACGGTCGTGTATTAAACCCCCCAAAAATCCAGTATGGGGGAAGGGTAAGAGAAAAACAGGTTTTTCTAAAAATGATGTCCTTGACTTGAAATATTCTTGCAGTTCAAAACAATGAAATTTGGAATTTTTTAACGAAATTGAAAGTAAAAGTATCAGAGTAAAAGAGAGAAAAAATGGTAAATATTTTTGAGATGCACCAAAAGAAAATTTACCCTGGAATTGCTTTAGGGTTTTTTATTTGTATATAAATATTTAATTTGTCAAATGAATGGTGAATGTGATACATTAGAGAAGTTTTGAACTGTAGGAATGATGACTTGCACTCGTACCCTTACACAAACTGCCTAAGTTTATAATGCTGCTAAATTCTTACTTGTATCCATGGTACCATAGCTGTTTCTTGATTGAATAAAGTATCTGCTCCTCAGTGGAAATTAAGATTTGTTATCCTTATAAAATATATCATTATAAAAAAAAAACAAGTGTGATATCTAGAAATTATTGATTTTTTTTTTAAATTGTGTAAAGAAAAAAGATTTTGGAATCAAGAAGACCTTTATTCAGCAAATTTGACCTATTTTATCTTTGCATGTTCAGTGCTTTAATAGTGTAATTGAAAGAAAAATTGTTATATTTAAAAAAGATTCAAATGACCCTTTCTTTTAATTCATAAATATCACAGTTGGCTTTTTTTTTATCAAGATGTGACAGACTAATGTATGTTCTAAAATATGACAACTACAATTCTTTTGAAAATTTATGTTTTTTTTTTGGTAATTTAGGTTGAACAGAATATCAGGAAACAGCTAGCAAAGTGCAATACAAGTCATGGCTGATGTGCACGGCTTTCTTATAAAAACAAAAACAAAAAAAGAAATTAGATTTACAATACTTTGGTTTTCTATAAAAGTGATTTTTTTTCACTGATTGTTTCAATTTTTCTGTGTCCATGTCTCTTTAAGTTGAGGGTCATGAATATCTTATGATTTTATCAAGTTTATTACAAAAACTGTGTTACTCTGTTGTGGTTCCATTTTTTGGGGGTTAAAAGTTTGAAAATTTTGAAGCATTATTTATTTTATAAAAAGTCATTTTGATAAATTTAAAGGTAAAAGATGTCGAACCTACACAGTAATCGAATTTGATACTTTGAATTTAGTGTAATACAGTTTGAATATCTTAATAGGAATACTACTTTGTGATAGTTGAATATGATTTATGTTTGCAATTATTCAAACACAATTCACTGTATTAAAGACCATGAAATAATTGTAGTAGTTACCAAATGTTTTGTATACTTTTATTTCATGTTTTTTATGTATAAGATATCACATTTATTCTTAAGAGTTCAGAGTGAAAAATCTTTTTTAACCAAAAAATTTTCTGAAACTTTTCATTATGATTGATGCCTCCTTTTTATACGACCGCAAAAATTTAAAATTTTTTGGTCGTATATTGGTATGACGTTGGCGTCGTCGTCGTCCGGCGTCGTCTGGCGTCGTCCGAAGACACATTGGTTTTCGCACTCTAACTTTAGTTTAAGTGAATGGATCTCCATGAAATTTTACCATAAGGTTCAATACCACGAAAGGAAGGTTGGGATTGATTTTGGGGGTTATGGTACCAACAGTTAAGGAATTAGGGGCCAAAAAGGGGCCAAAAATAAGCATTTTTGTAACTTCCAGACAATAACTTGTGTGTAAGTGTATGGATCTCTCTGACATTGTACCACAAGGTTCCATATCACATAGGGAAGGCTGTAATCGATTTTGGGGGTAATTGCCTCAAAATTTTAGGAATTAGGGGCCAAAAAAGGGGCAAAAAACAAGCATTTTTCTAGTTTCATGACAATTACTTGTGTGTAAGTGTTTGGATATTTCTTAAATTGTACTACAAGGTTCCATATCACAAAGGGAAAGCTGGAATTGAGTTTGGGGGTAATTGCCCGAAACGTTTAGGAATTGGGGGCCAAAAAGGGGCCAAAAATAAGCATTTTTCTAGTTTCCAGACAATAACTTGTGTTCAAGTGTATGGATCTCTCTGAAATTGTACTGCAAGGTACCATACCACAAAGGGAAGGCTGGGATTGAGTTTGGGGGTGATGAATCATAAGGGGGTTCAAAAAATTTGGGGGGGGGATTTTTTTTTTTTCTTTTTTTTTCTTTTTTTTTCTTTTTTTTTCTTTTAAAATTTTCCATTTTAAGTTGGTTATTTCTGATTTATATTTAAAAGCAAATAATAATGATATGGAAGGAGATACACACCAAACAGGATGTGTAAATTATTATACAATAAGTATTGTGCAATAGCAAGAAATTTTCAATTGCACAGTATTGCACCATAGCAAGAAATCTTCAATTGCACAGTATTGCGCAATAGCAAGAAATCTTCAATTGCACAGTATTGCACAATAGCAAAAAATATCCAATAGCACAATATTGCGCAATAGCAAGAAATTGTCAATTGTACAGTATTGCGCAATAGCAAGAAATATTCAATTGCACAGTATTGTGCAAAAGAATATACTTCGTATAAGTTGCTTATTTCTTGATCAATTTCAATGGGGTTTTATTCTTGAATTCTTGGGGTTCTTTAATATGCTGAATCTAACCATGTATTAAGTTTTTGGATTTTGGGCACCGTTTTTAAATTGGTCCACATTGAGGTCCAAAGGGTCCAAAATTTAACTTTGTTTGATATCATCAAAAATTGAATTATTGGGGTTCTTTGATATGCCGAATCTAACCGTGTATTTAGATTCTTAATTTTTGGTTCCGTTTTCAAATTGGTCTACATAAAAGTCCAAAGGGTCCAAAATTAAACTTAGTTTGATTTCAACAAAAATTGAATATATGGGGTTCTTTGATATGCTGAATCTAACCATGCATTTAGATTTTTGATTATGGGCCCAGTTTTCAAGTTGGACCAAATCGGGGTCCAAAATTTAACTTTGTTTGATTTCAACAAAAATTGTTTAAATGCGGTTCTTTGATATGCTGAATCTAACCATGTATTTAGATTTTTGATTATGGGCCCAGTTTTCAAGTTGGTCCAAATCGGGGTCCAAAATTAAACTTTGTTTGATTTCAACAAAAATTGAATATATGGGGTTCTTTCATATGCTGAATCTAACCGTGTATTAAGTTTTTGGATTTTGGGCCCCGTTTTTTAATTGGTCCACATTGAGGTCCAAAGGGTCCAAAATTTAACTTTGTTTGATTTCATCAAAAATTGAATTATTGGGGTTCTTTGATATGCCGAATCTTACCGTGTATTTAGATTCTTAATTTTTGGTTCCGTTTTCAAATTGGTCTACATAAAGGTCCAAAGGGTCCAAAATTAAACTTAGTTTGATTTTAACAAAAATTGAATTTTTAGGGTTCTTTGATATGCTGAATCTAAACATGTGTTTAGATTTTTGATTATGGGCCCAGTTTTCAAGTTGGTCCAAATCGGGGTCCAAAATTAAACTTTGTTTGATTTCAACAAAAATTGAATATATGGGGTTCTTTGATATGCTGAATCTAACCATGTATTTAGATTTTTGATTTTTGGGCCCCGTTATCAACTTTGTCCACATTGAGATCAAAAGGGTCCAAAATTAAACTTTGTTTGATTTCATCAAAAATTGAATTCTTGTGGTTCTTTGATATGCTGAATCTAACCATGTATTTAGATTTTGGATATTGGACCATAATAGGTGAATGTCCAATTTAAAATTTTTAAGTTCTTAGACCACATTTATTCTGTGTCAGAAACCTATGCTGTGTCAAATATTTAATCACAATCCAAATTCAGAGCTGTATCAAGCTTGAATGTTGTGTCCATACTTGCCCCAACTGTTCAGGGTTCGACCTCTGCGGTCGTATCAAGCTGCGCCCTGCAGAGCATTTTATTAACAAGAGCATGAATGCATTGTTCTAAATATTGCAAGAGCAGAAAAGTAAAAACCTGTAAATGTCCAAAATGTTCTGTTTTTCTTTCCTTCTTCTTTCCCTTACTATAGATTTAAGTAAAATCATGAGATATTCGTAATAAATAATGTGGCTGAAGCTTCCAATAATTTGTAATCATGTCTGCTATGTGACTGCATGACTAACACATTGTGATTACTTAGTGTAAAAGAGGGGACCAGTCTCTCTTTTTGAGGAAACCAGTTGTGGCCTGTGCACTGCATGTTATATTAAGGTTCTGATATGTTGAGACGTATCATGTTGATCTGCCTTGATCTTATAGGACCTGACAACTATAAATAATTGTCTGTTAGAGCTGTGTATCTCCTCCTTCCCAGAATGCCAAGCAGGAACTTGTTTCATCACTTTGCTATGCATGAGAAAAAAGTATTGATTTTACTTCTGGTCCTGCGGTTTTCTAAAATTATAAAATAAATATGGCTTTGGCTTTTATTATTGCAATTGTTATATGAAAGATGTTATTTTGATTTCAAATATTGGTGACTATTGGACTATTTGTACATGTTACAAAATTCACAGCATATAGACTTTGAAATTGTTAGGCAAATTTCATCACACAATCAAAACATTGAATTTTGAAAGAGACTTAAAATATGATTTAAGATGTTACCTTTATCAAATTCAAAGTTATATAATACAGAATTTTTAAGTTAAATGTTAAAACAACTTTTTTTTTTAAATTGGATCTATTAAGGCTAGTTATGGAACAAATTTTCTGCTTTTTTTGTCAAGAGTTGAGCCCAATATATGTGTGCATGATGTGTTCCTTTTGTATGTTGATGTCAATAAGGATGTACCACACAAATCTACTAAAACTTATATCTTATTTACTGTATTCACTGTATTAATATATATACATAACTTATATGAATTTGTAACTATATAATTATTAGGAGTGACATGTGGTGTAAATCGCAAGAAGGAACAGCACTCCTCTATTAATTCAAATATTGTGGATTCATTTATTTCCGTGGATACCAATTTTCATGGCTTGAGGAGAAACTGCATGTTCGTGGACATTTAATTTCAAGGTTTTGCCAAACTCTGCATACAAGCCTTTAGGAAATGGATACTTTGTTGAAATTTAAATTTGTGGTTCACCTTTACCGACTATATCAACGAAAATTGGTATCCATCTAAAATAATGAATCCACAGTATATATATATATATATATAGAGTTTTAACAGTTACACTGGACAGAAAAGGACTGCAACTGGGACAGACAATCCACTAATTTTTTCATAGAATAATATATACTTATTTGAGAAATAACCATCAATTTTAGAATAAGAGCATGCTTTTTATTACTTATTTATTGAGAATTTGGCATCTTGTCAAAGAATTATTAAACAGATAATTAATAATTTAATTATCAGATAGTTTGTCGAGTGAATTTCATTGGAATGAATATTATCTTATGTGAATTGTATAAAAATGTGTTTTTAATGAAATGAAATAGAATGTTTATCTGTATGACTATTCCACAAATGATCATGAAAGAGGCTAGCGGGCACAGAATGAATTAAAGGTGTAATGATGGCAATTACTACTTATAAATCAACCATGGTGATATATGGATATTTAGAGCGCATTTGATTCTAACCTATCAGATGTAAACGATTACGCGCGTAGTCGTTTAATCCATTTGTTTCTTACATTTTTTGGTCAATGTTGACATCGTTCACCTAAACGATGTAAGGGCAAAATAGTTGCGTAGTCTTTTATCGTTGAGAGGTATAAACGATACATTCGTTTCTGCATCTGTCGCTTAACTAATTTCGAGCACATGTTCTTTTTCGCTAAGTCCTGGTCATTCATTTTATCGCACTTTTACGTGTAATCTTTTTCTGTCTCATTACGCAGGGACGATAAAGGTCATTAAACAATGTATTTGTTTCTAGCAACTTAACATCGACTAAACGATAGTTGTCGATGACAAAATTTCGGGTTATAAACAAATGCACTCTTTATCAGTTTATTTTGTCTAAACTGCCATGGAAGTCCAGTCTCACAGGCAAGACATTTCTCTCTGTCCACACTTTATTATTAATATTGGAAATAGATATTTAGTGCCTTCCAGCGTTTCACATTTATTTGTGGAATAGGCGGTAACTAAGGGGATGGTTACCATTGGTGACTGTTTATATAAGAAGAAAGCCCAGCCTGATGGATATGTTATATTTATTATTGAGTTTGTGTGGGACATCACAGTGCTAATGGCCAACACCTGCTTTTATTTACCTAATTCAGCAATAGCTTTTTGTCAGCTTCTATGAAGTACACTAACTGTCCTGATTTCTTTCTTTTTAGCTAGAATTTTTACTTATATTACTATTGGTGTTTTCAAAAATTCTATAATAAAGGTGAAAAGTTTTTGAAATGGTTATATATTTTTTTAATTTTTTTTTTCAAACAAATTTGACAAATAAGACTAGTAACCTCCCTCTGGGCATTGCTTTGAGAAGCTGACGAAGCTATTGCTTGATACTTAGTAAGACAAAATTAGAAGCAATAAAGATAATTTCTGACTTTTTGCTTGGTCTATTGCAATAGGAAAGTGATAGTGCTAAGCTCATTCTTTCTTCTAACCAATTAAACCATTTTGTGTGAAAATTTTAATTCCATTTTTTTTCTTTTAAACACTTTATCTGACTTTTGAATTTGTGACTTTTAACTGAATTGTCTGATCTAGAGAAATTTTATGTTAAATGTTTTATGGCAAATGACTTTTAATAGGTAGTACTGTGAATTCTTTATAAATTTCTTTTTATGTTTTCCCTGTTAGTAGAAATTAAATAGATATTGATTCTCAATATAGGAAATTCTTTCAATTTGGTCACATTAATTGTTTCACAATGATGTTACATTATTGTGCATCTTTAGCCGATCAAATGAGGTCATCTTAAGGAATTCAGAGGTCTTTCAACTTATGCCTCGTTCACATGTACGTTCAATTCGAATTTTTTTAATTTGAATCAAATTCGAATTGGCTAATTCGTATTAGAAATGCGTTTTCGTTAATGAGAAATAGCTAATTCGCTTCAATTCGAATTTAACTTTGGTGTGGACACTTTCTTGATTGTAATACGAATTACCCGAACAAGTGCTTGGACATTTTGTGCAAAATAACAGGCAAAAAATGTTCTTGGAATAAATTGAAAACTGCTAGTCCTGTTATGAAAATGAGAATAAAAAATGATTCCGATAAATGCCATATCAGATCAATAGGGCAAGTTTGGAGATGTTATTGGTTCTAAAATGGTTGTTTTGTTTTAAATTAAAATTAATTAATTGATAATGTGAATTAAAAGTTAACGTCGTTCGGACAATAAAGCGAATTTGACGCGCATTGCAATTCATATTAAATTTACGTTTGGACATAAAACGTTTCGAATGCGAATTAAACTAATTCAAATTTGTTAATGAGAATCTAATTTAAATTACATGTGAACTCAGCATTAAACATCCAGTAGGTCTTGGAGAAATATTGTGAAACAAGTCTTATCTAAAATCACTGAAACAACTTAAATAAAACTGATATATTTGTCCAAACTTTACAATTGTTGAAAGTGAGAAAAGTTTGTTGTTCATTGGTGCTACATATTCAATTTTCAGGTATTCTGTTCAAATTTTTTGTTCTATTATGAAACTATCTTCTGTCATTTTGATTTTTTTTTAAGATTTCAAGAAGTATCTTTGTAAATCATTTGAGGTTAACTTATTTGTATGGTTTTCATAAGCCAAGGATTCACAGTACCATAGCATGGTAAACTACGCAACATTATAAAGGAATGGCACAGTCTGGGCTGTTGTTCAAAAAGAGTTCAACGAAAAGTATTTAAAGTCACAAATTTGAAAGAGTTGACACAACTTTTTATAAATATTTTGATGGAAATTTGATTGATATCAGAAAAAAATGATATATTTTTTTTGTCAACAACTGGACATTATCACTGCGTCTTTTTCTAGAGTAAATCCCAGGCAATGCCAAATCAAGGTGTTTGGGACATGAGGGGAAAACAGTTTTACTCAGGCATAGAGATTCGGGTGTGGGCCATCGCCTGTTATGCTCCCCAGAGAACAGTTCGGGAAGATTGCTTGAGGTACGTATTTAATGATCTCCCTTTTGTACCTATAGATTAAATCTGCTGCAGTCCCCAACCAGGGAGTCTGGGATATGAGGGGCAAGCAGTTCTACTCCGGTATGGAGATTAAGGTTTGGGCCATAGCCTGTTTTGCGCCTCAGAGGACTGTTCGCGAGGATGCATTAAGGTAAGAAGTCATTGTTTTAAAAATAATTTAGAGAACTGAACATGTTTCTATGTTGTGTATATTTTGTGTATTTTCTAAGTTCATTATACCCCTGCTCCGAAGGAAGTATACCATTTTTCCCCTGTCTGTCCATCGATCAGTCCCAAGAGATTTCCTCCACATTTTTCTCCGGAACTAAAAATTGGAGCATCTTGAAATTTGTTATAAGGTTTCCTTTGAGCATGATATACTGTGAGATGCGTTTTCACATTCATTAATCATCAATTTTCTGTTTACAGAATTAACATTTATTCTTTTTATAAGTACATCAGCAGAAAATCAGGAAAATAAATGCTTGCAAAGTCAGCCAATAAGGGCTAAATATAAACATTGCATCCACAAATCAGCTGTAAATATAATTAACTGCCATGTAATCACTATCTTTCTGAGATGTCAGCTGGTTGAATAAATTAATCATTCATTAGCCTGGTATGGTATTGAATTCATTTGTTTAAATTTGAAACATTAATTCTTACCTTTGATGGTTCAAATAGAATTGATGGTATGGGTTAGACAGTTCTTAGTCTTCCAGTTGATCTATTAGATAAATCTGAGATTATATGAAACACTATGTTGAAGTGACATAAGATTTGTTAAGTTTAGGGAGAAGTAATAAGAACCCTGCATGTCGCCATATGAGACTAGAATTGACTTGGATTTTAAATCGGGGAATTCCCCTGAATAGGGAACAAGCTGCTATCCACAGAAATTATTTGCGTAAAGTGTAGTTGTACTTGGCTTACAAAGATGGTATTTAAGGTGGAGATAAATCAGTCGCTAAGGAAGGTATAATGTGAACCCCAGTTTACCCTAGTCTATACTGTATTTTGCTGTCCATTAATATTGTGGACATTGGTATCTTTTTTTAGAAATTTCACACAGCAGCTACAGAGGATATCAAACGATGCTGGCATGCCAATTCTTGGTCAGCCTTGTTTCTGTAAATATGCCACAGGACCAGACCAAGTAGAACCAATGTTCCGTTACCTAAAAAACACATACCAAGGATTACAGCTGATTGTTGTGGTATTACCCGGTAAAACACCTGTGTATGGTAAGTTTTCATGCATGGAAAAACACACGTCTTTGCATTGTGTACTTCAACAACTTGCATAAATTTTTAGGTAACATTTGTTTAGCTGTTTTAAAATAGTGGAATACCAACTGTCAGTTATAACTTTCATCAAAATCAGAAATTTTAATACTCAACACTATTTTTCATTTGATTGTGAAGTTTTAAACAATATATTAGAAAATCCATGGCTCCTGAAAGCTTACCTTAGAAATCAATGATTAAGAATTAACCTCATTATCCATGTATTGGTTCATTTTGACTTTTAGGAAATTGGAATTATAATAAAATGGTTATTTTAATTCTGAGCTTTTTTATTCGGCTCTGCCTTAGGCCATTGTAGATATCGTATTTAAAGGCCATTATTACAGACCTTGGGACATAAAGTAGGGCCATTATGTAAACACCCATTATCATACTATGATATTACAAATGTATTACAAATGTTGATATTCTTTCTGATGCTAATAAATAGGTTATGTTATTTCAGCTGAAGTCAAAAGAGTTGGTGATATTTTGTTCGGTTTGGCAACACAATGTGTACAGGCAAAGAATGTAAATAAAACCACACCACAGACCTTGTCAAATCTATGTCTTAAAATCAATGTTAAACTCGGTGGAATTAACAATATATTGCTGCCCAGTATAAGGTGAGTGTCTACCTAACAAGACTAGTTTATAAATCTGTAAAAAAAATAATGGCTGTCTGGTAAATTAAAGCTAAAGCTTAAGACTTGAATCTGTTGTTTTAAGGTGCAGATAGCTAATCTTCTGTAGCAAGTTGATGAGACGAGCTGAGAAACTTCATATGATAACTGTTTTCAGGCTAGTGAATATTTCAAATATCGGTTAGACATATATAATTTTTTTTCCTTCAGCTTTGTGCTAGTAGGTATTAAAAAAATCTGGTACAGACTGAAACTCTTAAGACATAATACTGTGGAAATATCCTTGTCGAGTACCTTTAAGAATATTTGTAGCAGTTATTGGTGAATAAGGGTATCGCATAAGTCATAAACAGGGATTATCTTGATCTTGATGATCAGTTTATCAGTGGAAATCATCGGGCATCTGTTATGATCAATGTTCCAATGATCCAGCATATCTTGTAATGTTGTCTTGTTTACATCTAACCAATATACCTTATTCCCCAATCATAATAGTACGCTGAGGTTATACGTGAGCAGGTATCGAACTCAAGAGTTGAAAATTGTATTTGCTGCTTTTCTGCTTAGCTCGAAGCATTTTAGATTAAGGGCAAAGACTGGTCATCTCAGAGCCAGAATGATGTGTTAGGTTACCTATAGGGAGACATATTTTACAGTGGATTGTTAAATTGCGAAACTAAATAGTTAAAAAACAGGGTCATGTTGGTCTAGTATAAAGTAGGGTTGATACCCATAAAATATTAATATGCTTTCATCCTGATATGAATGTTATTTTTGCCTCCGGACATTAAACACTAATTCATCATCATTATCAACTTTTTGCCTGACAATTGAATTAACTTGTGTAATTTTTCAGGCCAGCGGTATTCAGAGAACCTGTGATATTTCTTGGTGCTGATGTTACACACCCACCAGCTGGTGATGCCAGCAAACCATCCATCGCAGCTGTAAGTTGTTTAATATGAATTTAAATGAGAAGACAATTTTTTGGGAGGATGTCTAATTGAAGTTGTAAGGCCTATGGTTGTTTCAAAATATAACAATAATACTATTTTCTGTTAAACTTTAAAACCTTTCAATTTTTCTAGCCCTCAGTAATGCTTTTTTTTATTGAAAAAATACACAGAATGCAAAAGCTCATTTAGGCACCATTTGGTACAGATTCAAAATTTATAGGTCCCACACACATGATCGGGGATTTTATTTTACCACTGGGCCTCTTAGATATTGTTCAAGTTGAGACAACTTATAATCTACTGTTAATTAATAACTTCTAAATTTTATAGGTTGTGGGCAGTATGGATGCCCATCCTAGTCGATACTCAGCTACCGTCCGTGTGCAGCAACATAGACAGGAAATTATCCAAGAGTTGTCTTCCATGGTTAGAGAATTGCTCATACAATTTTACAAGGCAACAAGATTCAAACCAACGAGAATTATCTTCTATAGAGATGGTGTCAGTGAAGGACAATTCCAACAAGTAAGTGACTTTCATATAACTTTATACCCGCCATACTGAAGGGGGACTTCAGGGGTGAAACTTAACTTTGTAAGGCCAGTAGCCAGCCAGGCTACTAGACTTGAAAATCAGTTAGCCCAGACAAAAAGTTAGTAGCCCACTTTATTTCACTATGAGTATCACCGGTGAAGCCTGCAAAGCGGACTGAACTTGCTAGGGGGGTTTGGGGGCATGCCCCCACCCACCCAAAAAAATTTTGAAATATTAGACTCCAAACCCTGCATTCTGAGCATACCTGGAGGTGATTTAGATGCTTGGGAAAATGTAAATTTTGTCTTATTTTTGTTGTTGATTTCAAATTTAATTTACAAAATGGGAATCTTAATTCATGCCCTGTGTACCAGGTTTTTTTTAATATCTTTTTAAGACAACTAAAGAATTCTCTGTCCTTAAATACATGTAGATGATCAATGAAATATTTAATATTATTTCTTTAATAATCTAATTTATTAAATATCTTGATCGATTTATTTTGCATAACTACGTACATTTGTAAACAAATGACCCACCTTTTTTCTCAAAAGACTTGTACACGTATTTCAAAAGCATTGTCATAAAATTGATATCTCCTCTAATTTTCTCTTTTTTGTAAACTGTTCAGTAAGTAGGAAACTAAAATCATTTTGAACTAATGTTATTTATAAGTGGTCGTCAATATTCTACTTTCGTTTTTGACCTTCATTCTCTGGACACCACGTGGGCTTTGAAAAGGGAACTACAAAAGGTACTGTTTTCCAGATTCTAAACAACATTATATATTATACGTTCTTTTATTTGACTGATATTATTTCATAACATGCTATTGTCATCTTCTCTGAATTTCTTCGCTTTCTTGAAGCCAAAACCGAACAGGTATTTGATCGCTCCATATTGTAAATGACCATCGGAATCAGGGATGGGCACGATTACTGACAAATGTAATCGATTAATAATCGATTACGTGAAGGATTTTTGTGCAATCGATTAATAATCTATTACTCCGATTTTAGTATGTAATCGATTGCAATCGATTACTTTATCAAAAGTAATTACATTACTTTTCGATTACTGTCAATTACATGCTTCAAAATTAAAAAAAAAAATAAAGTTAAACACGATTATGTTGCTCAACGTCTGAATAGTGGAAATTTAGAACTTTACCAAAAACAACATTTAAAGCATTGTTTCTATACTATAAGCTGACAGTTTTTTTCTAGATGGAATCTCTTACTGAGGATAAGAAATATTAAAAAAATCTTGAAATTTTGACTTTCAACATGAATGTCAGAATGAGAGATGAGAACGCATTGCATCAATCACTTATTTATATTTATGGTTGTTTCAAAAATTTTGCTTCCGTACTGACTTAGGTTAGCTTTTTTGTTTTTACTCATTAAAAACAATTATATTTTAGCATAGTTAATTACAATGTTGAAAGTTTTCTCTGAAAAAAATATAAAAAAGTAGAATAATTAATTAGTTCAGCTAATCTTAAAGATCAAAATTTATAATAATAATGACATGCATGATTTAATCCTTTTGTTTGGATAACCACCCTAATTACAGGTTATAAAATTGCCAATGGAGTACAATTTATAACCTGGGGCAAAATAATGTAAATCTTCTTCTTAATTAGACATACAGTTATTGAAATAAAAAACAAAGTCTGTATCTTATTGATTAGAAGACTTTGAGCATCTGATTAGTAAAGACAAGAAGTTTGTTAAGATTTTTTTATTCTCCAATCAAGTTATTGACAATATATATATATATATATTTATAATGTGAAAGAGGGATACATGTATCTATTTCCAAAAAGAATTTTAATGCATAGCCATTGATTCATTGTTAAAAGGATTTTGTGTACTTCTATAATTTGTATATACATGTATATCATAACATTATAAGAAATCAACTGTTTATCTATTCTAAGCTTAAATTCAAACTCTTATTCAAAATTATGCTTTAAGGAATTTTAATAGAAATAAGCTTACCACCTTACCACTTTAATGTAGTACAGAACTCTTATTGAAAATTATGCTTTAAGGAATTTTAATACAAATAATCTCACTACTTAAGTGTAGTACATAACTTAACTTAAGACACATTTCTTATTTTAAATCTATTTTCTTATTTCAAATCTATTTCTTATTTTAATATAAAAGGTCTTGAATTATTGACAAGCACATAAATCCATTTGTTTCAAAAGTTAGATATAAAGTAAATTTTGGTAGGTGATCTGGTTGATCATAATGCAGTATGAGATAATAGATAGAAATAAGGCAGTTGATAAACCCTTTAAGTCATATCAATACACTCTATTTTATCTGTACTACAAAGTGATGAACAAATGATGAATACATACAAATTTTTATCTAAAATAGGTTATATTTCATTTAACTATTTTACTAAAGTAATCGAAATGTAATCGAAAAGTAATCGATGATTACATAATTTTTTTGCTGTATTCGATTAAATTACGATTACATGTAATCGAAAATGTCTTCGATTACAGATTACTGTCGATTACTGGAAAAAATGTAATCAATTACACTCGATTACGATTACCCCATCCCTGATCGGAATGTCTCTCTTGTTATCCTTGCAAACATACTATACTTTCCAGACTTTAAATAGACGACCAATCAGTGACCTGAATTAACGTGAACTATATTTAGTCAAAAGTAAACACTGATTTTACATCCTTGTTTATCGCGACGGTGACTTTGCGACAATACGACTCTCGGCACTTGCCTGTATACATTTTAAAAAGATTTTTTTTGCTTTTTTTCTTTTTATCTTTGTCAGTGAAGTAGCCGGCACTTGGAGCCACGGTAAACAGCGGATTTTCGTCTGTCGAGTACTTTGTTTTCAATTCGCCACCTGGGCTACCACAACTGAATAAAAAGATCGCCCAGGTCAATTTCTGGTCGCCATGGGCGACTGGGCGACCGTTAAGTTTTTTCCCTGGACTATAAAGTTATTGTTGTATCTGTTCACTGTTTTGTGTGTCCACACTACTTTGTATGCTAAATCAGTGACTATTTCATTTAAAATTTCAGAGAATCTTTAGTATCTAATTTCATTGCTTAAATATTTTATTTTGAAATGTACCGAATTTAGGGGTTTTCTATAGCATAACATGGACTTTAACATATCTATAAATAATGGAATGGGTATGAGCTCAGTTTTAGTTATGTTCAAGTTATATCATTGTTTGTTTTGTTATACATACTTATATCATTAATGTTACAAAACAAACAAACAAAATTTGATAGATCTAGTTATTTCCTGGTTTTAGCATCAAAATGTATTGAATTCTACATATATTTGACATTGAACTACAAAATGTATTTACCTCTCAGGTGCTATACCATGAGTTACGAGCTGTGAGAGAAGCATGTATGAAGCTTGAGATCGGGTACCAGCCTGGTATTACCTTCATTGTTGTACAGAAGAGACATCACACTAGATTGTTCTGTGCCGACAGGAAGGATCAGATTGGAAGGAGTGGGAACATTCCAGCTGGTACCACTGTGGATGTCGGCATCACACATCCTACAGAGTTTGACTTCTACTTATGTAGTCATGCTGGAATCCAGGTAAAGTTTGAAACAAAATAAGAGATTCATGGCATTTAATCCTTTCACATTTAGTACACTCTCTAAGTTCATAATCTGTGATGTTGCACATATTTTTATGAACCGCAGTTTTACCCTTGTCTGCCTGTATGTCCTAAAATTGGTTACTGTTCTGTAACTTCAGTTTACCTGAACCAAATGTTATAAAGGTTATACACAATGCTTGTTACCACAAAACACAGATCAAGTTTGAATTTGGGTGGCCTCACTTTTACCTTTCTAGAGTTATGCTCCTTTACAAATGGAAAAATTTCTGAATTTTTTGTTTCTATTCTCTAACATAAGTTTGCCTCAACCAAATGTTATGAAACTTATACACAATGCTTAATACCACAAAACTCAGATCAAGTTCGAATTTGGTGGCGTCATTTTTACCTTTCTAGAGTTATGCCCCTTTTCAAATGGAAAAATTGCTGAATTTTTTGTTTCTGTTCTCTAACTTAAGTTTGCCTCAACCAAATGTTATGAAACTTATACACAATGCTTAATACCACAAAACTCAGATCAAGTACGAATTTGGGTAGTGTCGCTATTACCAATCTTGAGTTGATGTCCCTTTATAATGTTATATGCAAGCGGGGGCATCATCTGTGTCCCATGGACACATTCCCCATTTATTTAATTCCATATTACTGTCCATTGTCACAATCACTAGAAACAATTCCTCTGTGTAGAAAAAAAAAAATTAATCTTAAAATGAGTAACACTGGCTTTCCCAATGTAGAAAAAAGGAATTGTGTTGATATATTGTGGATGACTATTCACTTCTTTGAAAAGATAGAAAAACAGAAGACAGCTGCATAAACTGACAAAGTGCTAAAGATGCTTTGTCCAGGAAATAAATATACAGAATTTTTATTATTTTTCATGACTGAAATTGGTTTCTATGGCTTTGAAAATGGAGTAGCCAACTTAAATCAGTTTTAACAAATCTCTTGCTTTTCTTTCTGAACATTAGTTTAAGGCACCTGTTAAATTTTCTATTCCTGGATGCCATGTATGTTTATAGAAACTTAAAGCAAACTGAAAAGGTACTGTATTGTATTGTTTCTATTTTACTGTTGACTTTCAAATTATTGGATACATTATTTATTGTGTCTATTTTACAGGGTACCAGTCGACCTTCACATTACCATGTATTGTGGGATGACAATAGGTTCAATGCAGATGAACTCCAGATGTTGACCTATCAATTATGTCACACCTATGTTAGATGTACAAGGAGTGTGTCCATTCCAGCACCGGCTTATTATGCACATCTTGTGGCCTTCAGAGCTCGTTATCATCTAGTCGAGAAAGAACATGATAGGTAAGGCCTAGAATTGTTTTTATTCATTTCTCACTTAGGGATGTAATATGTTATTCCTCTGTTTGACTTGTGTAAGCATCAAACTTTCACATTGGGGTCTCAGTAACTGAGTGGTCTCTTCACAGTGATTACTAACATATTGTGAGTTAGAACCCCGAATTTGGCGTGATGTTCTACCTCTATCATAATTGACCAGGATTGCCAGTTTTCCTGAACCAAGTCTTCTCCATGTACTTTGGCTACTGTGGATTCATTAATATTTGTTGGATACTAATTTTCGTGGATTTCGTGGTTACAGGTGAACCACGAATTTAAAAGTTCAACGAATTACAAATTTTCCATCAGGTTGTATGCAGACTTGAGCTAAACCACAAAATGAAATGTCCAAGAAAATACAAGTTTCAATCAATCCACGAAAATAAATGAATTCACAGTAACTCTATTAACAAAAACTGGCCACCATGATCAAGCCAAGGACCCTGAAAGTGGCATAAAACTCCAACCAACAAATAAACATTTAGCTTTAAAACAGCTGATTAGGTTCCTATATCTCTATGGAAATTTTCTTTGTAATGTAGTTTTCAGAATTATTGGAATTGCTACGGTTATGATTCAAGTCTTGGTATGCAATGGGAATAAAGTTGAAAGTATTCTTCTATGCACTAAAACTTTATTGGATTATTATTTTCCAGCAAGGATAAGGAAATTTCAATAAAAAAAAAAAATGGGTGAGATACATGTAAGCAAGTTATTGTCAGAATTAAAGACTTATTGTTCAGCTAATGAAATATCTTTTCATTTGTTTATTGTAGCGGTGAAGGAAGTCGTCATTCTGACAATAGTGAAGACAGAACGCCATCTGCGATGGCAAGAGCAGTCACGGTTCATCCAGACACTACAAAAGTCATGTACTTTGCCTAGAACAAGAAAGATCCAAACTTTTCACAGGGCATTTCCATCTCAACCCAGTTGTAGAATCATCGTTCAACACAAGTGCTTAAATACATTATATTTATGTGTCAAAAATGGGGACTATGCCATTTTGGAAATTTTCATCGTATGAACAAATGCTCTTTATTGTTGGATATTGTTAGCGTTATTCATATATAAGGCCGGGAATGTATATAGTATTATTTTGTGCATATGTTATTTCTATATAAGGTTGAGCCTCTTTGTAAGTTGTACGTAGAATTCCTCTAATTTTGTCAATTTTTGCATCCATTTCTATTTCCTTACTTGTAACAATTTTATCACTGAATTTAGCATTTCAAAGACGATGAAATGTTGTTTTTTGTTGTTGTAAAAAGTGATAAATTTAGAGGAAGAGAAAGAAGGTTGACTGTAATTATTAAATTATTTATTGATATTTTATTGCAGGACTTCATTTTTTCTTGGTTGACAGTTCACTGAAATTTTGCTAAAAATTAACTTCTTAAGGAAAAAATGTCAACTGAGAAAAGATTTAGTCTCATTTCTTTGTATAACTAATGAATCACATGTTATTTTATCTTTTATTTAATCATTGAGTGAGATTAAGACAAGACAACAATCTTTATTATATCTTAAGTGACTAGAGGAATATATTGTAATTTATAATACAAATATAGAAATGTCTTAAACTTTTTTTGAAATAAGTCACTTTTAACTGTTTGCATGGGATCAAATTTCAAAATTTCAAAATTTCAAAATTTAACAATTGTGTTTTTGAAATTATTACTTAGTGTTCTTGAAGTTTTGTTGTACCTCAGGTTAAATTTGCCTGTAAGACAGATTTTATATTTCATTTGATGCGATCATGAAATAATGAATTTTAGATTTCTTTTGATAAATGTAAGTTGTAGTTTCATTGAAATTGCTGAGAAACTTTGAAATGTTTTACTTTGATTTTGGTTCAAAATGATATCAAATATAAGGTTTGAAAATAAATTACACCAACATTTAAATATTTGATTTTGAGAAATATAATTTGAGTTAATTATATCATGGTGCTGTAATTAACTAGAGACAGCAATAGTGATGTGGTAATTTTGATTGATCATTGTGGTAATTTTATATATTTGTATATATACTCTCAGTCAAGATAATTGTTAGTTTATTGACCTTTGACATGTTAAAAATCACTTTTTAATTTTTGTTGTACTTTAGTTTCAATATAGTAACTTTGTAGTGAATTTTTTTCAGTAGAAATCATTTTTGTTTGTCTCTTACACAAACTTGTATGAAATAGTAAATATGTTTTAATGGGAACATTCATTTTCAAGTTTCCGGTTTGGAAGCATTTGTATACCAATCAAATAATTTGGGAAAATTAACACTAAAATCAGAATCAGATTAATTTCAAAAAAAAATTTTGTTGGATTAGATGCAAAATTTGCAATTGAAAAGGCATAAATATATTAAAACTAACAATTATTTTTACAAAACTTGTAGGTTTGTATGAAGAATTCATATCAGAGTATTTTAACCATTCCTTTCATATTTGTTGAAATTATTATTCATTGAACATATTTTATTTAAGATTTTATCTTTTTTACTTTTGTCTTTTTTTTTTAGAAATCTTCCAATCTCTTTGAAAAATAAAAACAAAACAAAACTGAAATTAGCTTTTTACTGAGCTTATATAAATTAATTTACAGTTATTCCCCTTTGATCTTTTGGTTGAATGTTTCTAATGTTTTCAACTTGTATAACCAATATGTGCTGATGTGGCGTTAAACATCAATCAATATTTTCAATCTCTTTTTTTTTTCTAAAATACACCAAATCAACATTTATGAAAATTTCTCTAGTTAAACAAAAGTAAAAATTTCTAAATGTTTTATCATGTTACCATGTTGTCTTAACCATAAAAGTATAAAACTGCGGACAATTTCTTCCTGCTTAAATTGTTTATTGGATTCCGTTTTATTTTTTAGATATATTTTGTTCTTTAGTCCCACCTCTTGTCGTTATTCTTTTATCCACCAAATATTTAACCACCAGCAGGGGAGGTAATTCTCCCTTTATCCAATCATTGTGTAGTCCCGCTAAATTTTCTCTGGAAATTGTGGATTGAGGGTACAAAGATGATATCAGAAACAGCGGAAAATCAATTGAGAATTAAGTATGCATTTGAGCAGCTAAGAAAATCCAGCATTAATACAACTAAAAAAAAATCATGATTTAAAAGAGTCATTATAAATGTTTCAAAGATGTCTTCCATCTAGTAGATTGTGACTTGAGTCTTTCAGATTTCGTCAATATCTGCATTTTAATGCATATACAAATTAAAAGAATTTGATAAGAATATAGAATTTGGATCTTTTTTTTTTTGAAGATGGAGTTGTTGTAAAAACATAAAAGAATTTGATTAAGATAAGATAGCAGTTACTGACTTGTCGGAAGAAAGTAAGAATTCATGTGGTTTTTAAGAAAAATGTGAGTTGCATTGAATTATAAGTATCATCAGTGTGCCTCAATGTTCAGTTTTTGTAAAGAGAAAATAGTTATGCATGTATCAATTGCAAAATTATTATTAATCATCAAAAATTTCCAAAACTCAGATATATACCATTATAACTTGTATGCAATACCATTTTAAGGTCAAATAAGCTAGTCATTAGAAGCAGCTCAATGTTTACCAAGCCTTAATTCACACCAAATTAATCTAAGCCAACTAACCTGTCCCTATCAGCAATAATAGTTGAATAATGACAGACGATCATTCATATTTTTTACAGGTCATATTGCAAAATTTTATCATATCATCAAATTTACTGAGATTAAATTAGTACTTATGTATTTTTTGTTCAGGACTTAAAATGTGAAATGTTCTGATATTATTTTTCATTGCAAATTAAACATAAAAACTCAGCTTGTCTAATCGCCAAAGAGAATTATACAAAGATTTTGATTGGTTTATTTAAAAACAGGTGAATGGTACAGAGAATCTGATTGATGAAAAAATAATCTTAAGTGCCATATAGGGAGATGTATTTTTTTTCTAGTCATGATACAAGGTCAGCTGCATTCCAGTGTTTTAAGAAATTCAATCTTTTGATGTGATGGCTGTGATTAAATGCAATCATGATTTTAAGGGATGTTAAACTTTTTTGATTTAACATGGTTGTTTTAATATTTTAGACTTAAATTGTGATAAATTAACTTTTGAGTAAAATATGACAATTTTTTTCAAAATTGATTCAAATATAATGGAGTGATATTTGAATTGAAATTTGAGAAAAAAAAGTTCCATTATTGAACTTTGACAAATTAAATAAAAACCTGGCATGACAAGTTTATGAACAAGAAAAAAATTGCTCAAACATGAAAAAAGCAAAAAACGTACAAATTAAATATTTATCATGACAATGAACTTTTTTGTTTGTATCACCAAAGAATGTGTGGTGCTTTGCTGTTCCATTCCACAAACCATCCCTTAAGATAATGTAAGATGATATAATGTTAACTAGTCTTGTAATCATGGTGAGATTCCAGGGTCTGCTGAACAGAAAGTTTGAATAAATATCACAATTTCTAAAGATTTGGCTCGAATCCACAGAGGTGGTATGGTAGTCCCTTCCTCTAATAAGATCCTTTCACCAGCAGTAGTCCCACCTTCCATATTTAACACCTTTCTTCATAGATCAACCCCCATTGTTTCAATATTTAAAGATCCATTGAATTATCTTTTTCACCATAGACCTGTAGGATTATTCACCATACAACCTCATTGTAAGCATTGAAATCAAGACTTGACGGATTTCTGGGATGAAAAATTCAAAGAAAAATTCTAAAAATATGCATGTATAAGAAATTTATCATGTTGGTCGTTGGGAATAGGGTCCAGTCTGTGTGTCAGGCAATCTCCATTGCAAATGTTAATTTCTTGAAGTTGCAACTAGATATTAGAGTTTGCTTATGTTGATTGTTGGGGGGGAAAGTCCAGTCTGTTGGTGAGGCAATCTCCTTTTGCAAATGATAATTTCTAAACAGATCGAAGTTGAACTTAAAAAATCCATGATATTCTGTTTGATTAGAAATCCAAAAGTCAATCAGAGGAAGTCCCATTGTTGGCTATAACTATATCAACCTTTCTGTTCAGCATGAAATAATGTGGTAATTAACTGTGGTATTTTGTGAACTTGTTACATGCAACTCCATGGTCCAATCTGATTGGTACATATCATGTCATGTGACATATCTCAGACCAATGACACCATTTCAGAGTGTTTCCATGGTTGCAATAGCATGCAGACAGGTCCACAGGACTATTGATTTGCATATTTTTTATATATTTGTTTTATTTAATGTTATTGTGTGGGTGCTTTGTATAGATGTATTTGTATATAATAATCAAATTTCATTATTTTTTTCTATAATGATTGAAGAGTGTTAACAAATATTATAATGAAGGGTACCAAACAATCATTTTCAGTGTGAAAATATACAATACAAAGAAGTCAATTTTAATAATATTGATTTTTTTTTTTTTTTTCATGAATATTTTATTATATTATGCTCTTTATCAAGAATGGAATTTCAGTTTGTTTGTTTTTTCATCATAAAATGACATGATTTCCAAAGATTTCTAACCACTGAATATTTATGAGCTAAAAAGTAAATTATGCATGCTACCATAGTAAGGCTTCCTATAGCAATGTCAAAACTTGCCAACATTGAATCTCAGCAGACAGGGTTTGGTTGAAATAAAATAAAGCATAAAATAAGGCTATTTCAGAAGAAGTGTATTGGGGTTTTGGGGTTTCAGGCTTGCAGTATTTGTAGAATTGAAATAGAATAGTCAAAGTTAGATCTTACACAAACGGTAACATGAAAAAGTACTTGAGCTTCATTGCATTTCTTTCTGGAATTGCCAATTACAGAAAATAAATCTCAAAATGATTACCGGTAAGTTTCATGTACCAATATGCATTTATTGATTTTTGGAGATGAAAACTACAAAAAAAACTGTTGATTATGTGACAAATTTACTTAAGAGTTTTTCAAAGAAAAGTGCATACATTTTTAGGATTTTGTTAACATTACATTGTGGATCTGTTTAAAATTAAGTCTTGAAAAGTTGTACGCTTGATTTAGGTTTCTTTTGATCATGTTGACATGAATTGAATCTGATGGTTAAAGATCTGTGATGCAATCTCCATACACCAAACTCTAGTCTGCAGAAATCATTCATATCTCATCCATTTCTGTGTCCACACTAATTGTCAAAAACATGAAGGATAATTTAAAAATGGTAATTGAAAATCTTTTTTAAAGTCAGAGTAAATGCTTGTAAACACATTTTTTGTAAAAAGTAAATTTTTGTCCACCCCAAAAGAGAACATAATTGAGTAAATGATAATATCTCAAATACATCAAAAATGTTATAAATCTCACCTTAGTAGGTCAACTTATCTATATATAGCAGCTGTATTGTGAAGAATTTATGATAAGAAATAGTACCCTAATTATGGACGTAAAATTGTTGTGCTTTTTAATTGGACATCTATGAATAACCAGATTGAAATTAGGATGTTTGTTGCTAAAAAAAAAATTGTTTAAAAAGGACACACAAAAAAAATACCTAGGCAGCAAAACTAATGGTTACAAGAAAATTAAGTTAACCTGTAGTGAACATCCTTATAAAATTGAAAGTAACTTATATTATGATTTCCAATTGTTTGTAAATATCTGATTTAAAAGTTGTTTTGACTTTTCTTTTGTTTTATAAACAAAATAAGAGTCCTAGGCCATTTCAATTTATTGTTTGGTTATTAATGCTCCAACCAAATTGAGTGAAAGAATTAAAATTTTAATAATTTTTAGTTTTTGGAAATAACTTGAGAAGTATACGTTTGGATGTCTATTTGAATATTTAGATATTGACTTTTTGCATGTAGTATGGCCCATTTTGTAACCTGGTATAGAAAAGATCATTTTTAAGGCCATAGATGTAATCAGATTATTAATTTTATGTTTCCTTATCAACGTTAAGTCGCCTTCCTGAAGAGATTGACTACAAAATACAAAGACATTTTTAACATCAACATCAATGCTAAAATGATGAACAATAAGCTGTAGGGATCAACTGAAATAAATTCAAAATAACAAAATATCAGAACAAAGTTCGGTTTCAGAGTAATAGCTTAATGTTCAATTGCCTTAAATGTACATGATATAGTGATCCATGGAATTCTAGTTGCATCGTAAAGAACGCAAGGAGTATAAGGCATTCAGAAAGTTGAACAAACTTTTTGTAAAGGGATTTTCCTAGTGAAATGGTTAAAGGTCAACTAAAGAAAATTACTTGCCATCATCGGATTGGTTGGACTTGATTGTTTAAAGTTTATTTAACCTCTTTAGAGTTTAAGGAATTTTTGTTTTACTCCCCAAGTCATTCTCACTTAAATCTCTTTACGAAGTAAGGAGAAAAAAATTAACAAAATAAGAACAAATTTATATTTGACAAATATTTTTAATTGGAAATTAAAAAGAAAACATAATCAAAAGTGAAAGTAATAAAAAGGTTTATTTGTAGCAATTAGGACAAAATACTACCTCTTACTGAGGACAAAGTGAGCAGCTCATTGGCTATATTCAAATTTACTTAATTACTTGACATCTAATACTGCCTTTAATTTGTACTGATATTTGACATCCTGTATTCGTTTCATTTGAAATACATGGAACAAAATGTGATGCAAAATATGCATTATCAAAGGCCAAGTTCGAATGGAACCCGAGTTCTGACTAGAGTTCCACATGAACGGTAAATAATTTTGAAGAGTAAGGTCTCTAGATTACCGGTGCAAGGCCCCTACTCTGGATATGTTGACATTCAAATTTGATTGGATTGACGTCATAACATCCGGGAGATGGAGTCGATCTCGAAGAACCCTGCCCACACCCAGGACTCCTCGGGTTCTAATGGCGGGAAAGCTATATCCAATCATAATAGGTGTTATATATGACCATGTCAATCCTATCTACTCTATAAGTTCCATTCAAACTTGGCCAAAAGAAACTGTACGGTTTTTTTATTACTACCATATATGAAAAGACCAACTTGTAATTTAATCATTTTTATATGTGAGATGTTTTTTTTTTTTTTTTGTATTGTAAAATTATCTGCAACAGAAATGGGTGAAATTCTGCCTGTCCTCACGAAGCATTCAAAATATTGCTTGAATCATTCAATTTTTCACATGGATCAAATTTATTTATTATGCAACACACCAACAATTCATGGTATGTAAAAATTTTTGTTACAGTCGAAAGTTCATCTGCCATTCACATTACATTTGAATTTGCTTTTTGCATTTATATTGGTAGGTTATTAATTGGTTTGAAGAGCAAATCTGTAGACTCAAAGTGTACAGGCAGTGTTATTAAAAGAAAAATATAATTGATTCCTAATTAGATAAAAATACTAAATACTTTTTATATATGTTCATAGTTTATCATTATTCAAAGCTATGTAATTGTAAGGTAACCATATAAAATTGACTTAAATATTACTGCTGTAGAAAAAGAGATAGATTGGTTCTTAATCTTCCACTTATTAGACCACTGCCTTCTTCGTTTCAATTGTCCATCTGTAAGGGAGGTTATATTAATCTGATTAGAATTTAGCAAGAATGGGTGACTCATTGTTGAAGTAAGTATTTGGAAGAGCTTGAGTCCATCTGTAAGGGAGGTTATATTAATCTGATCAGAATTTACTAAGAAAGGGTGACTCATTGTTGAAGTAAGTTTTTGGAAAAGCTTGAGTCCACCTGTAAGGGAGGTTATATTAATCTGATCAGAATTTAGTAAGAAAAGGTGACTCATTGTTGAAGTAAGTTTTTGGAAGGGTAAGCAGCAGTTCTAAATATTTAACATTCCTGATAAACTATCATGACCTTTGACCTTGTGAATGACAGGCATATTATGCAACCATTTTAATTTGTATCACATGCCACCATTGTAATGAGACTTGCACAGTATTTTTGACAAGTCCATGATAAACCCCCGTTAGATATGCTCCACCTTTGTATGTATATTTCTGGTACCTGTTGCTTTTTACAGAGTCTATAGTATTTTAATTTAATAAAGTGTATATTATGTATAAATGTACTTTTGTTTTCAATTTGCCACTGAATTGTAAAAAGCCATCTCAAATCATCTCTTTGGTGTCCACCCGTATGACGCATTGCGGGGGACAGAGAAATACCAGGCGTCTGTCTATCTGATCTTGTTAGAACTCTAACGTGTACAATTCTTACCAATTTTTATACGACCACAAAAGTCTTATATTGGTATGACGTTGGCGTCGTCGTCCGAAGACACATTGGTTTTCGCACTCTAACTTTAGTTTAATGAATGGATCTCTTTGAAATTTTACCATAAGGTTAAATACCACAAAAGGAAGGTTGGGATTGATTTTGGGGGTTATGGTACCAACAGTTAAGGAATTAGGGACCAAAAAGGGTCCAAAAATAAGCATTTTCTAGTTTCCAGACAATAACTGTGGAACGGTGTATGGATCTCTCTGAAATTATACTACAAGTTTCCATACCACAAAGGGATGGTTAGGATTTGCTTTGGGGGGTTATGGCTCAAACCGTTTATGAATTAGGTGCAAAAAAGGGTGAAAAACAAGGTTGTCCTGGTTAATGGACAAATACTTTAGTACAAAACATAATTTAAAGCAGTGTAAGGGAGATAAATCAAATACATCATTGAAATTACCTCCCTTACACTGCTTTTTAATTATGTATAAAGTAATGGTTAATGAACAATTAAGATAATTTAAAACAGTGTAAGGGAGGTAATCCAAATACAACAATTAATGTAGAAAATGTAAGGAACTATATCTTTTTTCTACGCATTCACAATTTGTTTTGATCCGACGTATCGACGTCTTGACATTGCCTATTGTTGTATGACGTCAGAGAGTGAAATAGCCACGTTTATTTCACATGTGAAATTATCTGTTTTTTTTTGAGTGGGAAACCAATGTAATTCATTGCTACCAATGTAATAAAAAGAATTATTCTTCAAATATTTTTTTTTTTCAAATTTCAAATATTGAAAAATTTGAAGAAATAATCTTTAATTGCACAGTATGGCGCATTAGATTTGTAAAATCTTTGACCACATTTATTTATTTGTCTAACCGTGTATTTAGATTTTTATACGACCGCAAAAATTTTTTGCGGTCATATTTTGGTATGACGTTGGCGTCGTCCGAAGACGCATTGGTTTTCGCACTCTAACTGTAGTTTAAGTGAATGGATCTCTATGAAATTTTACCATAAGGTTCAATACCACAAAAGAAAGGTTGAGATTGATTTTGGGGGTTATGGTACCAACAGTTAAGGAATCTTTCTGAAATTGTACTTACAAGGTTCCATATCACAAAGGGAAAGCTGGAATTGAGTTTGGGGGTAATTGCCCAAAACGTTTAGGAAAAAGGGGCCAAAAATAAGCATTTTTCTAGTTTCCAGACAATAACTTGTGTTCAAGTGTATGGATCTCTTTGAAATTGTACCACAAGGTTCCATATCACACAGGGAATGCTGGGATTCAGTTTGGGGGTAATTGCCCAAAACGTTTAGGAAAAAGGGGCCAAAAATAAGCATTTTTCTAGTTTCCAGACAATAACTTGTGTTCAAGTGTATGGATCTCTCTGAAATTGTACTGCAAGGTACCCTACCACAAAAGGAAGGCTGGGATTGAGTTTGGGGGTGATGAATCATAAGGGGGTTCAAAAAATTTGTGGGGGGTGGGGTTTCCTTTTTTTTTCTTTTTTTCCTTTTTTTTTTCTTTTAAAATTTTCCATTTTAAGTTGGTTATTTCTGTTTTATATTTAAAAGCAAATAATGATACACACCAAACAGGATGTGTAAATTATTATATAATAAGTATTGTGCAATAGCAAGAAATTTTCAATTGCACAGTATTGCACAATAGCAAGAAATCTTCAAATGCACAGTATTGCGCAATAGCAAGACATCTTAAATTGCACAGTATTGTGCAATAGCAAGAAATATCAAATAACACAATATTGCGCAATAGCAAGAAATTGTCAATTGTACAGTATTGCGCAATAGCAAGAAATATTCAATTGCACAGTATTGTGCAAAAGAAGATACTTCGTATAAATTGCTTATTTCTTGACCAATTTCAATGGGGTTTTATTCTTGAATTCTTGGGTTTCTTTAATATGCTGATTCTAACCGTGTATTAAGTTTTTGGATTTTGGGCCCCGTTTTTAAATTGGTCCACATTGAGGTCCAAAGGGTCCAAAATTAAACTTTGTTTGATTTCATCAAAAATTGAATTATTGGGGTTCTTTGATATGCCGAATCTAACCGTGTATTTAGATTCTTAATTTTTGGTTCCGTTTTCAAATTGGTCTACACTAAGGTCCAAAGGGTCCAAAATTAAAATTAGTTTGATTTTAACAAAAATTGAATTCTTAGGGTTCTTTGATAAGCTGAATCTAAACATGTGTTTAGATTTTTGATTATGGGCCCAGTTTTCAAGTTGGTCCAAGTTGGAGTCCAAAATTAAACTTTTTTTGATTTCAACAAAAAATGAATATATGGGGTTCTTTGATAGGCTGAATCTAACCATGTATTTAGATTTTTTATTTGTGGGTCCCGCTATCAAATTGGTTCATATTGAGGTCAAAAGGGTCCAAAATTAAACTTTGTTTGATTTCATCAAAAATTGAATTATTGGGGTTCTTTGATATTCCAAATCTAACCGTGTATTTAGATTTTTAATTTTGGGTCCCCTTTTTTAAATTGGTCTACATTAAGGTCCAAAGGGTCCAAAATTAAACTTAGTTTGATTTTAACAAAAATTGAATTCTTGGGGTTCTTTGATATGCTGAATCTAAACATGTGTTTAGATTTTTGATTATGGGCCCAGTTTTCAAGTTTGTCCAAGTTGGGGTCCAAAATTAAACTTTGTTTGATTTCAACAAAAATTGAATATATGGGGTTCTTTGATATGCTGAATCTAACCATGTATTTTGATTTTGGACATTGGACCATAACAGGTAAATTAAAAAAATTCAAGTTCTTAGACCACATTCTTTCTGTGTCAGAAACATATGATGTGTCAAATATTTAATCACAATCCAAATTCAGAGCTGTATCAAGCTTGAATGTTGTGTCCATACTTGCCCCAACTGTTCAGGGTTCAACCTCTGTGGTCGTATCAAGCTGCGCCCAGCGAAGCATTTTATTATGAAACATATATTGGTTTATATCAGCAATGTCTCGGACAAATTCACAAATCAGTGCTTATCAGTTTTTTTATACGACCACAAAAAATTCGCGTTCATATATTGCTATCATGTCATCTGAAGACATTTGGTTTCCGGACAATGACTTTAGTATGAGTAAATGGATCTGTATGAAATTTAATCACAAGGTCCAATAGCACAAAAGGAAGGTTGGGATTGATTTTGTGGGTTATGGTCCCAACTGTTTAGGAATTAGGGGTCAAAAAGGGGCCAAAAAAGGCATTTTTCTAGTTTCGGGACTATAACTTGTGTATAAGTGTATGGATCTCTATGAAATTGTACCACAAGGTTCCATACCACAAAAGAAAGGTTGGGATTGACTTTAGGGATTATGGCCCAAACCGTTCAAGAACTAGTGGCAAAAAAAGGGGAAAACAAGGTTTTTCTGGTTAATGGACAATTACTTAAGTATTAGTCTATGAATTTCTATGAAATTGAAACACAAGGTTCCATACCACAAAGGAAAAGTTGGGTTTGACTTTGGGAGTTATGGCTTAAACCGTTCAGGAATAAGGGGATAAGGGGCAAAAAAAAAGGGGGGGAGGAACAAGGTTTTTCTGGTTTCTGGCCAAATTCTTAAGTATTAGTCAATGGATCTCTATGAAATTGGACCTCAAGGTTCCATACCACACACAGAAGGTTGAGGTCGATTTTGTTGGTTGTGGCTTTAATCGTTAAGAAACTAGAGGCCAAATAGGGGGCCTTAAACTAGACTTTTCTAGTACTGGCTAAGCTGGTTCTAACATAAATTATTTCTGATCTATATAAAGAAATAACAAATACTGATATGGCAGGAGATACACACCAAACAGAGTGTGTAAATTATTATATTTAGTTTGTAAACAGATTTACTAAGTATTGCGCAACAGCAAAGTATTGCACAACAGCAAGAAATCTTCAATTGAAAATAAATACAAATCTTTTAACTAATTTCAATGAGGAGTAATTTAAAGTCTTGAATTGTTGGAGGTTTTTACCATGTATTACTATATTGGATATTTGGACATTTTTAAATAGGTCTACATTGAGGTCCAAAGGGTCCAAAATTAGATTTTGTTTCATCAAAAACTGAATTCTTGTGGTTCTATGATATGCTGAACCTAACTGTGCATTCAGATTTTTATACGACTGCAAAAAATTTGCGGTCTTATATTGGTATCACGTTGTCGTCAGTGTCGTCCGAAGACATTTGGTTTCCGGACAATAACTTTAGTAAATGTAAATAGAAATCTTTGAAATTTAAAAACACAAGGTTTATAACCACAAAAGGAAGGTTGGGATTGATTTAAGTGGTTATAGTCCTAACAGTTTAGGAATTAAGGGCCAAAAAGGGGCTCAAATAAGCATTTTTCTAGGTTCCAGACAATAACTTGTGGAACGGTGTATGGATCTCTCTGAAATTATAACATTAGTTTCCATACCACAAAGGGATGGTTAGGATTGGCTTTGGGGGGTTATGGCTCAAACCGTTTAGGAATTAGGGGCAAAAAAGTGAGAAAAAACAAGGGTGTCCTGGTTAATGGACAATTAAAAAAAAGTACAATGTTATGTTTGGATTACCTCCCTTACACTGCTTTTAAATTATGTATAAAGAAATGTTGTATTGTCTTGAGGTGATTAGCTGTCAAGTTATTTTTAGAAGTTACTATTTAAAAATGCTGATTAAGGAATATTAATTTTAGCCATGATTATGTAAGTCATTTTCTATTTTAAGATTTTTATGATGTATTTAAATGGGTAACTATGGTTGCAAACTCCATTGGAAATTTGAATTGAGATTATGACCATATCTTGAGGGAATAACAATTTTTT